AATAAGAACTGGAAATGGCAAAGCCTTGTCAGCAATTATGCAAATGAATGGGAACTCTTTAATTCTTTGGCCTAATACATAGAATGAGATACTGTATATGGTGGCCTTCACGTTGTAATTCTTGTAGAACTCAAATTTAACCTGGTCACCTCATAGTTGTATGAGAATAACAGAAGGATTTAAAAATCTTAATTCAGAAAGTGAAGAATAAAATGGATTTGTTTCTTTGGAATGATTTTTTTCAGAATCATTAGAACAATAGCAGCACTGAAGATATCAAGAACCTATTTATACACTGCTATTTTTGTTGGGAATAGTTATGTATTTCTTTGCCAATTATTCCTCATCAGGCTCCACATAGCTATCAAAATCAGAAAAGCAAGAATGGCATGGAATTCAGGAAATGTCTTTAATGCTAGTATGAAATGAAAAACATTAAAAACTGTAAAAGTAAATAAGCAGCCTTAATTGTTGCAAGTTAATTAGGATGGAGCCTTACATTTCTTATCTGGACTATGTAGCTTCTTCTGAGATTTACAATCACTCACACATATACAATTCTGTGGCTAAAAGAGTAAAAACAATTAATACAACTTTGCAACAGGCGTATTGAGAGTGGGACGGGTGGGGAAATATTCACTTTGCCATACAGGTGGGGACTCCTAACAACTCAGCCTAGTGCCTGCAGAAAAAGCAAGGATTTCAGAGATCACTTGAAAGCAGGCAGGGTCAGGATCATGCAGATCTTATGGAGAATGTTGATACAGCAACAGAAAAGCTAAACTCCTTGGGTCTAGTAAAATGACATGACTTAATAGAAGGGACCTGAAGCATGTTAATTGTTGGTTTTATTGGATGGTCAAGGACAATGGGACATAGTCATTCTATGAGCACTCTCTTGGCCACCCAGGCAAATCTGTCCTGTCTTTCCTGGCTATAGTTTTAATTTGCTGCTCCAGGAAGAATTGGGACTCTGCAGAAACCCCAATTAGGAATTTTGCTTAGCAGAATGAAATTGTATCCAGAACAATGTGAGATAAACCAGGGGTCCCCAACCCCCAGACTGTAGATCAGCACTGGGCCATAGCATGCCAGAAACTGGACTGTGCAAACAAGCCCAATCCGTGGGATGCAGGCAGCATGAGAAACCATGCCCACTTTGATCTGTGGAAAAACATCTCTCCTCAGAATCGGTCCCTGATGCCACAAAGGTTGGGGGCCATTGAGATAAACCAAATACCTTGTCACCAATTTTCTTAATGGTGCCCCACCTACATTCCCTTGTACATTTAACTTGTCTATCACAGTTTTTGGAACTAGTTACACTAAATTACCTACAGTAGAACATTCAGTACAAAATAGGGAAAGTATGAGCTAGTGAGAACTTAGTAACAGACCCCTAAGTTGGACTGCTTATAACATCATGGTCCTGATTTTCAACTGATTTTAGAATGCAAAATCAAGCCAACTGAAGGAGAGGAATTTGTCTACAATGAAATGAAGTAGTCAGACTGTATGACATGGTAGGCAAATAGGTTTGAAAATGTTACTTTTGACATATAACAATAGATCATTGGAAGTTGAATTCGTGGTGAGTTGGAGGGTCTGCTTGGAGACAATGTGCATTTCTTTAGAAATGCTTAGTAGATTTATGAAATCTGGGGAACTTTTTATGATTGGCTGAAAAGAGAACATGGTTAAAAGATAGTTAACATCAATTTAGATGGAAGAAGAAGGAGCAGATAAGGAAGGAGACCCAGGCGACACAGTATTGAATAACTGGAGGTTGAGAAGGTTAGATAAATAGAAGTATTAATGTAAGAGAAAATTAATCTTATTGTATATGATACAGATAGGGAAATTTGGAGAAAGTTGCTCGGACATTACCCCTGAATTGTATCTGAAGAGGGAAGAAAGGAGAGGAGAGAGAAAAGAGTAAAGGAGGGGAGAAGGAAGTAGGAAGGTTAGAGGAGAAGTGAGGAGAAAGGGGAGGACAGTGGTGAAGGAAAGAGGAGAGGAAGAAGAGGGAAGTAGGGAAGAGAAGAAAGGGAGAAAGAAGGTAGAGAAGGAGTGTGGATACAGTGAAAGGGGAAATGGGCGAGCAACACCAAAAGTCATGTGTATGTATTTCATTTTATTAAAAGTATCTTATATATGAATGTAAAAAGAATGTATGTTAACATCTGATAAATATCACGGTATATGTATGGGGGAAGAGTTTGGAAAAATAAAAAAAATATTAAAAAAAAAAAGAAATGCTTAGTAGATTGTCGTTATGCCAAGCAAGTAATACATGTGGATAAACTGAGATTATCCAAAAGTAACAACATTCTATGGACATATCACACTATGTTGTTTTTATGTTAGTTTCATTAGTGCCCTCTTCCATTATATTTATAAAAACAATGCTCTTTAAAATGACTCACTTCGTTATATAAAAGGAAAATTGTGTACTGGTATTTTGTTTGGTTACTAAAAATCAGATACAGAAACAGTACTTCTGTTGCAAACATCATAACAATTAATAGTGCAAACTCCCAAAATCTAGAGCATGTTCAGTCAGTCATTTTGGCACATGGAGGAAAGAATCACATGTCCATTCTCTGGCAATATAGGTAGCCCATTTAACAATGACAATTGGGGTTAGAATTGCCATTGCTAAACAATGCAGTTGTACAGTGTGATGTTGCATGACCATGTTGTTTAGTGCCAGCAATTCTGGCACTCCAAATTGCTATCAAGTGAATCACTGAGTTGTTAAATGAGGATGTCACATGGTCACCATTTGTGATCATTGCCAGTTTTTGATAAGCAAATCAGTAGGGAAGCAGTAGAAAGTCACAAATGGTGGCCACATGGCACGATTGTGTGTAACCATGTTACACACTATTGTGAGGCTGCAATAGCCAGAACTCCAAGGAGCAGTCATATACATGACTCTTCAGCATTGTCGAAAGTTTAAATAGTCACTGAATGCGTGGTCATTAAACAAGGGCCACCAGTACAAAAGGTATCATTTGCTGCATAGCGTAACATTTCTGGAGATACTTAACTTTAAACTTAGGTTCTAAATATTAGATGGAGTTTTAGTCACTTTGACAAGGCCTTTACTATAGTAGGATATAGATATGATTACTTTGTTACCTGGACAAGATTATGAATAGGTAAACTTTATTCGCTAGCAAGTATATATTCATTTGACATACATTCAGGCATAATGGTAGAAATTAAGACATGGATAAGATTGTTATCTTTGGAGATCTTTGGTTCTATAAATAGGGATTAAATTGGCATTAAATACCCAAACAGGAATAGTTTCAGTCTCATCAGTGTTTTCTAGACAACACATCGAATGCTAGTACCCAATGATGCCACAGTTGAAAGCAAATCCTAAAAAGGGGTTGACCAAGCAGGATAAGTTTATCCTTTTTTCAAAATAGAAAGAAAAAAAGAGAAGTTTATGGACAGATATATTTCACACAACTGAAGAAATGTTGCCCATCAAGATCATTTCTCAAGAGTTTTCTTTAAATAAGGAGGAAGCATCCCAACAATGAGACACATTATGTCCTAGACCTAGCATCTATCCTGAATCAGCAGTATTTCTCACAGTTCCCATCCTGGATCAGTAGACTATGCCTCCTCAATGCAGTCCTTATGAATACAACTTTTGAGGGTAAAAAAAAAAAATCAGAAGACAAGAGATAGGACTGTTCAACTAAATACATAAACAGCTGAACTAGTAGGGTTATTTGGAAGTCTATTGTGATGAAAATTAAGCCTGATCTTTACTTACCTTTGTTGCAGTGTCACTAGCTTTGTGAAATGGGCAGCTGTATAAATTTGAAAAACAAACAAACAAATGCATCTGAATGAACTCTGCTCTGGTGGGATCAATTTTTGGGGGGCAAGCATACTCATTGGCCCACTGTGCATTCCTGGGAATTGTGTGCATAAGCTCCAGCTTGCCAAAACCCTTGCTACGTGGAAATCTGCTTTTGATTTTGAGTCCTTCAGCCACAGTTCCTCCAGTGTGCTAGTTTTGGATCTTGAACTTGATGGATTTATCACAGGACTTCCCAAATAATTAACTACTGTTTCATCTCTGAATGCAGAACATGGAATAATGGCCTTAATTTATATTCAGGTTGAATGTCAGGGGAAAAAGTAAGTTGAGGAAGGACTAACATTACTTGCTTATATTCAAGCAACTTCAAATAAAGCCTCAATCAGGAACATTTGCTCTGAAAAGAAAGCTATGTGGATTTTTGAATACATAGTTGTTTTGCTTTATCTGATAATTTCTGTTGAGATTTTACATAGGAATTCCTGTAAACAGCTAAATACCAAAAGCCAGGAAATCACATGCAAAGATTGAAAGAAAACATTTAAAATATAAATCAGAATCACAGATATCAAGATCCTGAATAACATCAATAACAAAATATATGGTTATTGAATTCTATCCAAGTCTCAATGAAAATATATTTATAATTACTCTCTGCTTTTGCAAGCTTGTTGTATTTATATTTTTCCTCAAGTAAGAGTATGATCTTTTTCTTCTAATTTTAATCCTAAGGCTCCACTGATTTTCAGCATATGTGCTTTTGTTCTCATACATTCAGGGAAATTCCAAATTGCTCTAACTTTGACAGACAATAGTCAGTCAACATCTAGTTCATTTCCCTTTGGGTAACAGAGCCTGCATATTCTTTTCCAGTTCAGATCCATTCTGGCCCCAGAAGGACACTTCCAGCCATCTTGGAGTTTCTTTGAAATGGAGACCTGTCCAAGGCTGACTCCCTCTCAGCCAATTTACTTAAATCAGAAAGTTTGGTGACAGTAAACTGATATGATGCTGGTATTTATTCACTGGACATATCAACATTAATTTGTTTTACTATTTACTAATGGCAACGTTAACATTTTATGGAACTTTTAAAAAACAAATCAAATGAGTAAGCCATCTAAAATAATATCTGAATAATCCCACAATTTAATAGATTTTGGAATAAGCTTTCTTCTTTATTTGGACTTCACTCATATTTACTGGACTAATGTATATACAATCAGCATTTTACTACAAGTGAGGTCATCTACATTACATAATTATACAAATAATGCAAATCAATGCAATTTCTGATTTAATGGGCACTTAGATTTAGCAGATATTCCTCTTGTCCAAATGATCCATTAAACTGCGGTTTTACTTACTTCTTCCTTCACTTTTGTCTCAAAGAATTGAGACTTTCTACATTTTTATAATTCCTAGCTCAATTTCAATTCTTCTGAATTCTGTAAAACTAATTTTTAAACTAGTAACAGAACAACTTCTGTTTCAGCAAACAATATTTACAAAGGAAAACAATTTACAAGCAGAAAAGCATTGTTTTAATAGTAATTTTCCTTTTCATCTGCACTCATATATTACATTAAATAATGCCTACATTTTTAATAAAATTATATTCTGGTAACTAACTTCCAATGCCTTACATCATATTTTTTTCAGACCTGATAGGAGTGTTTGATATACAAACAATCTGATATTGTTTTCCCAGTTAAGACTTCTTTGACTCCTTTTTATCTTCAAGTATTCCATTGTACTGCATGGCTGATTAATGACCCAGGAATTTTTCCATTTGCAGTAACAGCTTGTTTAACCTTTAAACCTTCCTCTGCGTTAGTAGATTCATGATCAGGATTTCCAATCACTGCAATGCTAATGATACAAAAAAAACCCCAAAAACAAAAAACCAACCCCCCCTATTTGCTCTGTCCCTTGATAAGGGACAGAACGTATTATCATAATTTTATCTTGAAAATCCTCTCATGGTTTCAAACTGAGTAAGGATATGACAAAGATTTGTAAGGTTTCAGCCCAGATCTTTTCCATCCTCTTTTGTTTCCTTTCATTTATTTCCTGGTTGTCTCCGTTTCTCCCACTTGCAATCTCTGAATCTCGATGGAAATCAATAGGCATTGTGTTTGATCTTGCAGCAGGTAGCTAATTTTTATTGGATGAGTATCCGTAGAGTTTTTTTTATGGAGCAGACCACAATTTTATTGGTACATAATTAAGTACATACACTTATTTCCTGGGCTGTTACAATCTTAAGTACCATAAAGTTAATATCAAATCTTAACAACTGTGTGGTTTCCAGAAAGGCTTATCTTCAACTTGGCCTTTTAGATCTCTTCATTGGTGTGATAATACAATCTATCCACCACTGACCTTCTTTTTTCTTCTTTCCTTTCAACTTTCTCAAGCATTATGGATTTTTTCAAGTTTATATTATTACAAATAATCCTTGTTGTTGTTATGTTGTTAATTGCGAAGCTGTGTCCGACCCATCGTGACCCCAGGGACGTTCCTCCAGGCCTTCCTGTCCTCTACCATCTTCTGGAATCCATTTAAGTTCACGCCTACTGCTTCAGTGACTCCATCCAGCCACCTCATTCTCTGTCGTCCCCTTCTTCTATTGCCCTCAATCTTTCCCAGCATTAAATAATCCTAGCATGTTCCTAATTTTTCTATCCCCTCCTAATTCTGATCAGCTGTTGCTCAGAATTTCCACACTATCCTCCTGTTTCACTGCAAGACATTGTTCTTCACTAGCTCTCTATTTAAACTTGCATTTATATTGCTCAGGTCATAACCTCCCACCGCATTCTCTAGTTTATCATTCTTTCTCTTAATATCCTGTTTAGTGCCTTGGATTTCTCTAGGCAGGATATTCTTTCTGTTCTCCTGTCTAAAGTTGTGGGTTTTCAGAGACCTGTCTTCAGAACACTGTTTCATCTTTTCTTTGTTATGATATTTAAAACGAGCTTAAACACCTTTTTATTTGACAAATGTGTTTTAATGTTAGCATTAGCCCACTTACCAATATTGTACTCTATTCTTGTTAAGCTTGGCAATTTTTAAATATTTGTTTATATTGATGATAGCTGTACAGGCATTCTCCTTTATCATTATTTTGGACACTCTTGTAAAATGTATGTTAATTGTGTTGGGTTTTTAAATACCCATGCAATGTAATAGTCTAATCACTAGGAATTATAACCTAGGCAGAATTAGAATATCTGTGTATTCCTCCTTTTCCAACTGGAAGCAAAATCTTCCTCCGTCAAAAAGTAGATCAAAAGAAAATCAGGTGATCAAAGAGCTTAATTTACTGAATGATGAATAACATACTTTCAAATTATGTATCTAATCTCTTTTCTTTCTAATACTAACTAATTAGGCTGTAAGGATCCAGATTTCTTGGTATGAATGGCTAGAATAAAGAATAAGTTCTTTTTCAACTTATTCTATCTTCTGGACGTTCAGAGTAACTAACAATAAGAAGTCAGAACAGAAATCATTAAATATATAACAAACAATTAAAATATCTTAGCTAATTCATATTGAAAAAGCACAGCTAAAGAGGAAAATCTTAAATCATGTCCTAAAAATAGATAATGAGTAAGTATAGCTCCTAATAGTTTGGGAATATTATTCAAACATAGAGGATTTTACAGATTATTTAAAATAAACTGAATGATAGGGAAAAAGCAACAATTTATTTCCGTGTACAGCACGTACTTTTCACAGGAGTTTCAAAACCCTAGCGTGTTGTAATGGAATAGCACATCTGAGCTACTTGTTGTTACTCAGATAGTTAAGAAAGTACATTTACACAATCTCACAGTCAATTTCTTCCCAAAAATACAGAATCATCTACAATTACAAAAAATGACTGAGAATACATGCAAGGCTCAGAGACAGTTGTTTAAGGAGCTGAATATAATGTAGGACATAGAAACAACAGATTCATGCCCACTGCATGACTAAGAAACTCAGAATTACACAAAAGAAAATTTAGACAATTTATAGAAGTTAATGGGAATATAATTTGATGTGTGCTTATGTGCATAAAACGTGAATGTATAAACATAAGCAGGAATCAATATGCATTTTCACACTGGCATAGGAAAGATGTTGGAAGCTAATGCATGTTCTGGCAGAATCAATGTAGGAGTGGCTAAAATGTTGGATCCGCATCACGAATATTGAGGATCAAGTCTACCTTTGCCCTAGAAGCTTACTAGGAAACGTTGGACCAGTCCTTCTCCCTCAGCCAAAGCACAGGACTCCTGTTGGGAAGAAAACTAGAAGAATAGAGAGTGATATGTTCTTTTTTAAGCAACTATAAAAAAAGTTGCTTAAGATACAAGTCTGAGAAAGTAACTAATATAAAGCCAACATTGTGGACACCCAGCAAAACTCTTATGGATCTTTTGTCAAGCACTGAATGTTTTTCAATACGGTGATTGTGAGTCATATCATGCTTCTTTCAAAATATTCCCAACCTAAGAATATTTACCACTTCCCCACAGTGTCATCCAATCTCTTTTCACTTTGTTTTAGGAAACATTAGCATTTATATTCACTGTATATTACCTAACAGTCTTACTTTGTACCAATTCACACTTTGGTCCATACAGTTTTCCCGTATTAACCTCTCTCTGTCACTTCTACACATTTGCATGGTCTCTAATTATTTCTACTGCATTCCTGAAAATAATAGGGAAAAACAGGATAGGTAAATTATGGTTTGCCCATATGGTGATACTTATTTATAGGAAATGTATTAAGGCATAAGGCTTAAAGTACATGGTGTTTAGAATAAGAATAAAAAACAGTGTTTGTTCTGAAATAACACACACATACACACACAAATCCTTGAATATAAATGCAGTGAGATACAAATAACAGATGATGCATGTCCCACATGAACACTCCATATATATATGCCTTAGTAATTAACCCTTGTTAAATCTTTGGTGGGAGGAAAAAGAAGATAGCTAGGCTATGTTTTGAGAGGTAAATCAAGTCTATCTTACAGTGTTTCAAAATAGATACACATCTGCAATGGTATGGGGATGACTTTGGGAGAGAGGGAGCTGTCTGTGGCTCTTCCCCCTGTTTTCCAAAGTCATTTCTACATACCATTACAGCATTACTCCTTTTTGTGTTAGCTTTTTCTACAAAATATATATTTCACAAAGTTTATCATTTAAAGAATCCTACATAATTTCACTCAAAAAACTTTCTCTTGAGATAAAAAGTTACTCAAAATACTTTCCACATACACATAGGTGCCATTTTTACTTTATTTAAGGAAAAAATGGGTGGGAAACAGTTATTTATAATACACAAAAAAATTAGACATCACTGCAAAAAGGCTTGGTGTTTCCTTGTCACCAGTCTATTTTGCAGTTCTACAATTAGTAATTTTACTGCAATTTTGTCATTTGTATTATTGTTTAAGCATCTTCATAGATGGCAATACTGGGGTTATTTAAAAAAAACACAAAAATTGTGTACTGCTATCACTATGAAAACCTAAACCCCACAAAATCACTTTGAAATAAACCATAAATATGTGATGCACGTTAGTGTAACAAAACCATTTTTGTAAACATTTTCTCCAACATAACATGTGCATACGATAAAAATAAAGTCACTGCATTCATACAGTTAGAATTACTTTGACATAGGATACAGAAATTATTACTTAAAGCTTAAACTAAACTAAGAGTACTTTTAATGCTTACCAACAGCACTGTTTTAAAATGGATGTCAACATTTCATATGTAGTGGTTTCATAATACTGATTTGACTTGTAAAATTAGCCACCATGGATTTGTTTTTCCATCTTCTTTTCATTCTGATGTACAGAGCTGCACCAGCCTATTAATCTGGCAGAATTCTTCAAAATTACAACATTCTTCCATTTGTGAACAGTAGTTTCTTTTTAACTATTTGCATACATCTCTCTCTCTCTCTCTGTGTGTATGTATGTATGTATATGTATGTATATACACACACACACACACACATGTATGTATGTATATGCATTGGGATGTGTGTTCACACACATGCATACAAACATGGTGGCATGAGGGGCAAGGGCAAAAATTAAATCACAAGATGTGATTCTAAACTTTTCCTAAGAGCCTCTGGCCCATTGGTTTTATCATCTCATGCTACAGTTCCAGTGCCAGAAAGGATCCTATTGCTGGCGGCAACATCAATCTCCTGCATCCCATGCATTTTCCACTATTCAATCTACAGTTAATTTTTTGACTGTTTGCTAAGAGGAATGAAGGGAAATGAAAGTCACCTGTAATCTTGGGTCTCACATTCAGTGCTATCTAAATCTCAAACAATTAAAAAAAAACATGAATTTTGTTTTTAAAAAAATCAAAGCAGAAATTATCAGCTGTTCCTATTTGATTTATACAAATTACTTTTGAGGAAAGGAGAAACCCTTCCAGCTCTTCAAAAAAAAAAAAATACTTAATAAAGGGGAGAAAGCTAGTAAGAAAAAGAAACAGCACTTTTACTGATGTCCTAAGTAGTACTAACTCAGATCTAGGCTCCTTCAATTGGTGCTGTTTGACACAAAGCAAGTCATTTGGTCTTTGTTACTTGATCTATCAAAGCCTCTTAACTGAAGAATCACACATAAGTCCCTAATTTTCATGCCATGAAACACTGGAATCCAATTCACTGATTAAACAGGGAACTTAAGGCAACTGTCAACTAAATTACCCCAAAGATATTTTTTAACAGTTCAAAAATCATAATTATTGTATCATGACTGTGCATTATTACATCACCCACAGATAATTACACACTCAAGTCTTCTCAAGTAATAAACACATGTAGCCTTTCAAAGTATTAGTCTTGACAGATTTATTATAAAGGCCAAAAATTTTAGGGATAAAACAAAATTTTGTGGAGCTTTTCCTCTTTAAAAACACAGGACAGGGAAAAAAAAAAGATCCAAGAATTTAGATTTTACACTGAAACACAAGTATATGTTGCTTTTAAAAACTGAGTAAGTAGAATTAACTACATTCTTATAGTTTTAGAGCATTGCATTTTTAGAAAAGGAAAACATTCCAGATTTCTTACGAAAGTATTGAATTTGCTTAGTTTTTGTTACTTTTGTGTTACTAAATCTCTCATGTTAAAGGTAAAACTTTCTGGATTTTAAGCTAAACTTCTTAAAGTTCCGTTGGTAATGAAACTGTTAAAAATAAAATTAAAAAATAAAATTTCAAAATTAAAAAAACTCAATTACTCTTAAGTCCTTAATCTAATTTAATCATTACAAGTGACTGATGGTCTGATCTCCTAAAACCTGGTACGAAAGTAACAGTCAAATCTGTAATCTGATAGTTTTGGTATCACAATTAAGTGGATATTAGTACTGGTTCTCCTAAAAAAATTATAAACCTAAACCACCTCTTTTATTGTATGCATTAGAAACAATGAGGTAGGCACAAAAATAAACATGTTTGGAATTTTCTTTCCCCAAAGACTGGTAGTAAAAGCTGTTGCACATTTTAGGTTTAAACAAAAATTAAACCTTTAACTGAGGCAGTGCTAACACTGAAATTACCAAGTTTTGGCCTAATGAAGAGTCATTGTAGAAAAATGAACTATGCCGTTATGTTTTTTTAAAAAAACCACTGTGATTTTTAGGCAAAACCTGGCACACAGGACAAGAAGGATTGAACTCTTGGCCAGGCCAAAACTTAAAAAGAAAATCACCCCACCTTCCCTAAACCACTGTGCCTTTCACATTTTTATAAATAATAACTTTTAAAACCTGCATCTTTCTCTTTTTCCACAGAGTCACATTACAAAAAAGAAAAGAAAAGAAAAAAGAAAAAGAAACATCAATTAAATTACATTGTTAATATTACTATATTAAATTTGCCCCCTGCTTCAGTGACACAGAGTCCACCTATGTCACCCTCCTGCACCTTCTCCTGCCTGCCTCCTTCCAAAAACGTTTTCCTGGTCAGTCTCTTCCTTTATTCATTAGGACATCTGGAGCAGGGAAAGGAAGAAAAGGAGAGACCTGATTCTTTCTCTACTGGGATCCCAAATCAGATAGCACCTGATGGCCAAAAGCACCAGCTGCACCCTGCAGCCTCAGTTTAAAAATGAAAAGAACCCAACACCAGTGATGCTTGCACATGCAATAGCATGTTTGGAGTGCATCATGGCAGGTCTGTACTCCAGTTGCAAATGATTCCAAGTTATGAAGACTCCAAAGGACAGCAATTCCTTGCCAAGCTATAGAGCTTCTACCAGCTGAGAAGAGAAGTCCTGCCTAAAGTCATGAAATAAACTTGACTGCTTCCTCCAGACCGTACAGAGGCAAAGAAAACCTGTGAAGTAAGAGATAAAGAGAAAACAAACTTATCAGACAGTGGAGCAGAAGTGGGGGACCAACAGAAAACAAGCACAGGGCTGAAATTTATTTACAGAACAAGGACAGCTTCTCTCACTCCTGTCATAATGCCTCTCATGATGTAGAGACAGAAAAATTATGGGAGTTTCAATCCTGACACATCTGGAAGGGAGCAGGGTGAAAAAAAACAGAGGACACATTTATTATTCATTAATAGTGACATCCAAGCCTCTGTGGAATATCAGTGTGCAGCAGAAAAAATATGTGGAAAGACATCGTATATGCTCTTTGATGTTAATTAAAGCTTTGCTGTTATTCCAGGAATCAAAAGGTCAATATGTGCATCGAGAGCAATGGACCTCTAATCCTTTTGCCCACATTCAAATATCAGAGGATTGCTGTCATCATTTATTCTTCCTCTTCTCCACAGTAATTACAAAACTGCTAAACTCAGTATTAGAAGTAGAAAATATATACATGTATACCTTACCTTGTCATTACGTTCACATAGAAATTTGAGTCTTTGTGCTCTTTTGTGCATAAATACACCATCCAAATGTCCTGTTTCCACTGACCGTATTTCAATAGCCTTTTCTCCCCAGCCCATAATCTGATTGGATCGAATGTAGGCTTTAAGATAAAAAAAGCCACTATTAAATATAATAATAAACAGTAATCTCCATCTTGGGCATTCTACATTCCTCTTAATTTTTCATACAAAACAAAATTTTGTTGACATAAATGTTCATTTAAAAAACTGAAAGAGAATATTTAGAGTGTAGATAAGCTTTTCTCTACAAATACAAGTTTGATCTGGTGCTTAAGGCATCAGGCTAGAAAACAGGAGACAGTGAGTTCAAGTTCTGCCTTAGTCAGGAAAGCCAGCTGGGTGATTTTGGCCAGTCACTCTCTCTCAGCCCAACCCACCTCACAAGTTGTTGAGGAGAAAATAGAAGGAGGAAGGTATGTTGGATATGTTCGCCACCTTGAACATTGAGTTATTTGTAAAAATTATAAAAGTAGCAAATAAGTAAATAAATAGATTCACACACACAACCCTTCAGTTATTAAATGTACAAGAATATATAACTGCAAGCATATGCATTCATAAGAAACATTCCTTCAATATTGTTTACTTCCCAATATATGTACTATTATATATTATAATTATATCAATTATAGATATAATTGATTTTAATACGGTAATATTATCAAGACAACAATACATAATATCAGATTATTTTAGAAAAATCTAACTGGGTACAAGAAGCTTGAAATTTATTCTTATTGAACTTATTGGTATACAAAAATATCCATGGGGTATGGTTATTTTGCTTTTCTGCATTATAGATGCAATTATGCATCCATGGTCCATTTGTTTTTTTCATCCAAAGCAATTAATTTTAAGCACAGGTGAAATGTATAATATATAGGTATAGCAGCAATATAGTTATTATTATGTCTTCTGACTTAGCAATAGAAATAGAAAATATAATATCTATCTGTCATGATATTTTAGATTATTTAATAGCCAAAGTGATTGAATAAAGAACCATTTATATACCATTTTCTGTAAGCGTTTCGTAAAAGCTTGGCATACATACCCACAGATGTAGGCATTTCACCCCATTGCAGAACCACATCTTTGGTGATCCTTCCATATGTGTTGACATATACTCCTTCATCCTCATAGCAAACAAGCAGTTCCATTCCATCAGTGTTAGGAAGAATAATGATCGCATGAGGCTGGATACTACACTGAATCTGCAAATACGTGTATCTGTCAACTCCCAGTTGGCAAGAAGGTATTCCTCATTTTCTCTGAATTGAACCATACATTTCCCAGACTGAGAAATAAGCCATGGGATCATAGATGTTCTCAGATAAAATGGATTTGTGTCACGCAGTTCTTCTTTTATTTATTGCTTATTAAGCACAAAACTTATCTTCTGTAGTGTTTATGGAGATTCTCAATCATCTAGGTCATGGTTGTCCCAAAGGTGCTTTTCCAAAAGGCAACTGGACTTCCTTGATTTTTTTTTTCTTTGAAAACATTTCAGAACTAAAGAAGCTTCTTGGATGAGAAGCAAAACATTTTCAAAGAAAAAAACAAAAAACCTAGTAAGTCCAGTTGCTTTTTGGAAAAGTACCTTTGGATCATTTCCTCTAGATATACATGCTTGGATATAAATTATTAATTATATGCTATCCTTTCAGCCTTTAATATTTTTGGATGGTGTATTTTATCCATTATCAAAAATATGGGTTAATGGGCTTCCGGTTTCGGTTTGCGGTGCTGGTGGAAGTGTGGTGAGATTGCTCTCCCCGCCGTTCGGTTTTCCTTCTTTGGGAGACCCTGATAAGGGTCGAAAGTCGCCCTGGAGGGGTGACCACTGTTGGGGAGAACTTTGCCAGTTCGAAGAAGGGCGGCAGCCTCTCTGTTTGATCTGTGGCAACTCCTCAGAACCAAAGAAGAAAAGAGCGGCCATGTCACACCAGCCAAAAGTCAAACTTACATCTAAGCACAATGAAGCATCATGGAGGATTCGGATGAGACCCTTCCTTTCCTCTTCGTTACCCTAATTACCTTCCTGTGAAAACCTTTTTAAACCTCTTCCCCGCTTTCAACGCAGCGGCGTTTCTGTACTTGGGAATTTAAATATTGAAGGAAAGAAAAGAATAAATAATTTTAATAACTAAATAACTGGAATTTTGACTTTCGGGAATTTAAAAGATCTAATTACTGAGATTTATTATTTCTCTAACCATCAACTTTGGAAAATATCCTCTTTTTTCGGCTTTTTTAATTAAAAGACTAACTGGCATCTGGGAAAAGATTTTGTGGTCGAAGGGGGACATCTTGTGGCGAAAACTGACACAGCAAATGGATTTTTTTTTTAAATTATGAGGCTTGTTGACTCTTTTGATTTAGCCTTCATACTAGCAAAAAAGATAAGATTGGGAACTGCTGGGTGGTGAAAACAGCTCTAAGAGCATGGAGGTGGACATTGGCTGATCTTTACTAAACATAGCTTCCACTAAAAGACTACCGCTAATCACAATGGAAACAGAATCTACCCAAAACTTAATTATAAACTTATACTTCAAAAAATCCTTGAAGCCACTGAGCTAATAAAATCTCAAGTGAAAGCCGAAGATATTTTCACAAAACTACAAATTGAACCCCAGACCCCAACTGTTCAATCTATAAGCCAAAAAACAATAGAGGAGGAACAATTTAACATCAAAGAGGATTCTACTCAACAACATGTACAACTTACTGAGAACTTTGACAAACAGATACTGATGTCAACTAAAACACCTGTAATTCCGAAAGCAACAGGATCTGATCTACCATACTGGGAACCTAGACAACTTGGATGACCAAACAACAACTACAACACCGGATATGGCTCTTTGCTTCACCCAGAAAAAAAAGAAGACCATACTGAATTGATGACAAGCATTCCAAACCAAATATCGAGATTTGAACTATTACCTAATAACTACAAAGGGGCCAGTTCCATTGAAAAACTGATAATTGGATGTTCTCCCTTGATTCAAGCAACATGTGTGGGAATGAAGGGAGACATATTGGAGGATTTAAGGGCACTGGTATGGAAGCCTGTCTGTCACAAAAAGAAAGCCAGAGTTAGATTTAAAAATGGGATTTAAAAATTCATTGGAGGTTTAAGCAGCTTTGTTTTAGAGAATTTGACTGATCTTAGAGATATTGACTGATTTAATATTTAGGATTTAGATTAATAAGGGAAATTAAAATAACCTGATAGATTATAGTTTTAATGGTTATAGAGAAATGGATTTGTGATAATGAGAGATATGTTATTAGTATATGAGGAATTATTAGGATGTGAAATAGAATATATTGATGAATAAAGAAAGAATTTAAATTTTGGAATAATAGTTTTATTTCAGTCATGAGAATTAGTTCATAATGAAATGAGGGAAACTAAACCTATATGAATTGTAAATATTGGTTATAAAAGACTAAATTGGAATATGACAATTGGAATTAAATAAAACCTAAAAACAGGATTTGGATATGTATAATTAAAATATTATTGATAAATGTATAGATTGATTGAACTTTAGTTAGAAATGTACTAATATGAATATGATATAATATCTAAGGGAAATAGAGAGGGAATCTTTATTGATGTAAACTGAGATATCTATGTATTACTCTGTTATTGGATTATTGATATCCTATCACCATGCTGCTTCCTAATTACTCGGTTGTTAAAATATGAAAATTAATAAAATTTGTTATAAAAAATATGGGTTAATTAACATGATTACAATATTAAATACTTACATGAGTTGGAAGATAAATATCATACACTGATCCTGAATCCACATCAACTGCATGAAAACCAGCACAGGAACCATAGATCACCTTCAATCTCTGGCCTTCTTCTACAGTAAGATCCACTAACAATGGTTTATGTACCAAGTCTCCAAATGACTGTTAAGTAATAAAATATACATATATATACCAAAGAGATTATCTTGGAAACAACTATGGAAAATATTTCAACTGGACTGGATTAAAATAGCAGTATTCATTGATACAATAATTGCTATATGGCAATAAACCTGAAATATGAGAATGACCCTTGCATGTGTATAATATTTTTAGTTCAGATAATCATATGCTTTTTAAAATCTTTTACAAAAGTTTAGAGTTTGATTGCTACTGTTTCATTTTCTTTGTAAAGCTGATTGAACTTTTAGATAAATGCAGAACAAAAATACCAATTAAAAGTAAAGGGAGACATGTTATATTTTAAAAGTGTTATTACCAGGGACTCAAAATTCACCCTTAAATAATTCTAGAACTTCAAGATGGTATACAAGTAAGTAGTTTTTTCCTAACAACCCTTTTTGTTTCCATTATTTTCCTCACTTCTTTTTTAATAATCTTCTCTTTCTCTACCTTAAATATTCTTTAGCAGATCAATGAACAAAAAGCTTTATCTCATTTTTTTCTTTGTAGTGCTGCCTAGCTCATCTTGCATGACTATTAACCTAAAACTTGGTAGTACAAGGAAAGTCGTGCTTAATAAAAACCTACGAACTGAAAGGAAAATAAGAGTAATGAGGAAAATTGCAACATTTCTGATTGAGGAACTGGCAACAAGTCTCATGACTAAGGGATGGACACCAGTAAAACATGTGTATATTATTTCTCCTACACAGACCATGTTGTATATTCTACTAAAGCAATTATCCTCATATAAAAAAGAAGGATGCAAGAAAAGACATCAAGTCATACCCCTGGTTTCCTTACAGGATCATGGATTGTTCTCTTGAAGAATGAGGTTTTTTAATCAATAGCCATAGATCTTAACTGTAAAGCACATCAACTCAAGACTTCCATAAGAGTATGGCAGATACAAACTATATTTTACTTCTAGAGTAGCAATATCCCCTAATACTTTTGGGTGAATTTGGACTTTTTGCTATCTGATGGTCCCTCTTTAGAACACTTATCATAATTAATATTGCTAATAGTAACCTCACTCTGACATTCTTCAATGACTTTTAACACATTACAAGGGAAAGAGGCACCCTTACCTTAAATGCCATAAATTTGTGGTATGGTTTTGGTGCCCAGGCATAGACTTCCACAGAACTCTTCAAAGCAATTACTAAGAATTTGATTCTTTCATATTTTACTAAAATTAAAAAGGATAAAAATTGTAAAATTATTTAAATGTTTTATACAGTTGATAAGGCATCAAATTTCAATATGTATTGTAGAACATAAATATACACATCAGAGAGTTTATAGCTTAATTCACAAAATTATGAACGCTTTCAAATTATCTCAAATTACATAACAATAATTAACATTACATGTATGTAATATTGATACATTAAAATATATCAATAATAATAAATGTTTACTTTCTAAATATAAAACATACCAAAAATCCACTTCGTTCCTTAGGCAATAATATATATAGATTTGCTTATATTAATTCCCATACCGATCAGAAGATAACGTATCCAACTAAAATAATTAGGTTACTATTTCTTCATTGAAACATTAATATAGATTCTAGCTCAGACATATTCTTAAGATATTCAATGACTATTAATAGTTTTTTCTACCATGCAAATGTGGGAGGGAGAGAGAAAAACTGATTTTTAGCACTCATAAATACTAAGAAATGATTACAAATGTTGGTAGGTAGAGAAAGAAAGCCAGTCCACAGAGAATGGCTATTATGAATTTAGCTTTAAGATGAAATTAAAACCAGACCCAAAATTATATGGCATCTTTTCTTTGGAAAAGAGCCAGCAGCAAAGTCAATGACTTCCTGGTGTTTCATTTATATATTCTCCAACAGGATAAAAGAGTCAGACTATCTTCTTAATACTTCCTAATATATATGATCCTACTGAAACACAATTAATCTCTGTTGTGTTCAGAATTGGTAAAACAATGTACAGGAAAGGAAATTACTTCTCTCTATACTTTGGTGTTAGGAAATGAGATGATGCCCAGGAAGCAGAAAATATGAACTTCATGTTCAATTCACAGTTGTTTGTATTAAAGCATGCTGTAATATATATAAACTCAACAAAACAGGGCATCTTTAGAGCACTTATTTTGAAAATGTGAAATATGTAGCTGTATTTTTATGCCACATGATTTACTCATAAAAACCAAAAGGAAGTTCACTTATAACTAGAATTGCTTTCAAATGAATATAATGAATTACTTACCAACTTTGTAGTGCACACAGCCTTCTAAATCACCTACAGTTGTCCACCCTTGTTTTTTTTCTACTTCAGGATCATTGTGAAGGATCTTGTTTCTTAACCATGAGAGGTAATAAACTCTCAATTTGTTTTTCTTACCTAGACATAAAATATTTTCTTAAGAACAGGGCAAGATTTTCACTACGTAGAATAATTCAGTAATTATTAGAATTGTATGAAAGCAACTGTATATAATTCTATTTCATGTAATTTTATCTGCCATAGAGGTATTTATTTGGAACTTTATTTTTTTTTAAAAAAAAAAACTTCGTATGTAGTCACAATACACCTATTCCAAGATATATAAAGGGAAATTTCTTAAATTATATTAAAAAATATATACCCTGCCCCCAGGACCTAGTAGTCTATTTAGAAGGAAGAATCATCTGCTAGGACAGCGGTTCTCAACCTATGGGTCGCGACCCCATTTGGGGTCGATCGACCTCTTTTGTGGGGTCGCCAAATGTGGCGATCCGCCATTTTGTCGCCTCCGGGGGCGCGCTGCGCCTCCGGGGGGGCGGTGCCGCGCACGCGCGCCACGTGTGGGGCGGCGGCACGCCTCTGGGGGGGCGCCACCGCGCATGCGTGCCACGCATGGGGGTGGCGCCGTGCCTCTGGGGGGCCGCGCCGCGCATGCGCACCGCATGTGCGGGCACCGCCGCACATGCGCACCGTGTGCAGGGGCCTGCCCCCATGCGCGCCGCGCACGGGGGCACCGCGCATGCGCGCCGCGCACGGGGCCCCACCCCCATGCGCGCCGTACCGCGCATGCGCATAACGTTTGTGTGACGGGGGTCGCTGTCACACAAACGTTGAGAACCGCTGTGCTAGGGATCACTCTCACTTGAGTAATGGAGTAACATAGTAATACAAGCACAGAGATATTGCAAAAAATGAAGTTCATAGAATAATTATATTTGATACAAATGTAAAATATTTAAAAAGAACTTAAGAACACAAAAGAGCTGCAAATCTAGCACTGTATGTTTTATCAATCAATCACATGACCAGAAGGAGCTTAGTCAAGATGTAAACAGAATAGTAACTTCTAGAAGCTGTTCTGTGGTTCTCCATACTAAACCTTATATAACTGGCATTGCCATCAATGAACTGGCAGGGAAGGTTCCTGTCTGAATTGTGGGCAAGTGATGTATTAAGAAGGGAATATGAAGAATTCAAGTAAACAGAAGGTGTAACAAATACGAAAGTGCCAAAACTGTCTCTTATACTAAATTATGTAGTAATTCTTATTTTACTGTAGTAAAATAGAAAAGTTAGCAAGTAGCTACAAAATAATTTCTGCAAACTGAATGAACTGACTTTATTACAACAAACATTATTACGAAATTATTACAAAATGCAATTAATGTGCATGAATGCAAAGTGATTCACTTTGGAACAAAAAAAACCCACCAAAAAACTAAAAAAATAAAATAAAAAATCCAAGCTTCTTCAGCTAATAGTAATCTGGAAAAGAATCAACAGCAATAGAAAATGTCAATATATTTGCCAAATACATTAATGCCTGTACAATCCCAAATGGTTGAACTATACTTGAATTATATGTACAGCTCTAATTATCTGATTTTAGTTAGAAAATATGAAGAATGTAGCAATCATCAGAGCTGCTCCCCTCTATATCTGAATGACTTATGAATTAGGTTGTGCAAATTTATGCAAGATAGGGCTTGAATCAAAGCAGCATGTTTTAAATGCAAATTTCAAAAGAACATCTAGTTGGCCTCTATATCTATGATTTGATGGGCCCTTTACCTAATCTAAGAGTTAAATTCTTAGCAACAAATAATCTCCTTCTCAATAAATTTCTCTGATACGTTTCAAAATCAGCTACTTGGTGAGTTCATGCAATTTGAGAAGAAATGCCACTCTTTTTTTTTAAACATAAATTTCATGCCATTTAATTTTCCTAGGTGTACTGATTTTTCTATTAAAAGAATAATTACTGTAACCACATATTACCCAGGTATAATGGATGGATACCTCTACAATTTCCTTCACTTTTTTCTAAATTAAACAGTTCATATGTTGTATCTTCCCCTCGTAGGAGAGTTGTTCAAGTCATCATTTTAGCTGCCCCTATTTCTACAGATTTTAGAAAGTATACCTTTAATTAAAATTTTGTAACATATTTCCAAAACATTTTTCAAGTTTCAATATATTTATGCAAACTCATATACTTTATTTATGATTTCCAGAATGCATTTATTTACTGAAGTTGGGGTGGGAGGGTTTGCGATGTTTTTGAACTAGATTATTCAATATTTTGAATTTCATAGATCCATTCTTAAAAATTGATAAATGAAATTCATATTGAAGTTTTACTAAACTAAATCAACAATTCATTTCTAACAATGAAGTTACATCTTAATAAAATTTCTTTAACAAGACATACTAATTTTAATATGAATCAGGTTACAGCATGGTTTTATGTAGAAGAGGTAGCTATTTTATTAGACTCATATTCTGATTATCCTTTAGGAGTTCAAAGTAGCTCACAGCACTTCCTTCTCCATTTTTCTCCCATGATGACAACCCTGCAGACAAGGCTGGTTTAAGAATGTACAACTGGCCAAAGTCACAGGAATAGTATAAATGAAAGGTAGCATGTCAGTTTATATTACAGATTTTCATCATTCAGACCTATCCTGGTTGGATAGCAAAATTTCAGTTTGAATGATGCCAGTAATATAAATAAGATAAGTTATTGACGATTCAGAGAGTATAAATAAGAGTTGCCTTCACCATATTTATCTGAGTTTTGATACAGTTTGGACTATGATATATATCACAAAACAGATATAAGCCAGAAAAGTTTACAATGTATATATGCTTGCTCTCATGTTTACAAGGCAGTTTGACTTTGTAATCTGGTAGCAATTTTTTAAAGCTGTGATTTACAATCATAAAGCAACATAGTTTTAGTCAAAACATAATGTAAGCAAGGATAATGAAGGATAGTAGGAACTATTGTGAAAATGGAGTCATTCAATAAGCTTATACCCAATTTTTTAAAATAGCAACCTTGATAATAAAAACAGGTATTATAATGTCCCCTGAATGTTCATCATATTTTTAATCAGAGAGGGTAGTTATAAAATATCCCTTGGAAAAATGAATGCTATTATCATATAATAAAAAAATTGGCTTCTAACATTAATTGTTCTTCATGCAAGAAGTAGACACTTGTAAGTGTAAAATACAGGTGCAACGCAATAGTAATACTGCTATTAAGGTTATCAAAAAAGAACTTCTGTCTACCTGATATTGTCACTAAGACATTCAAACCTTCAAGTACATCCATTTGCTGAAACCTCCTTCTGTTTATTAGTGGATAAACCTTCCCTTGGCCACTTCTATCCAATAACATCAGGCCACTTTCTGTCCCCACTAATAAATTAACTCCTAGAATGAACAAGATTAAGACAAACACAAGTTAATTGGATTTTGGATTTGCTATTGTGGAATATTTAGCTATTTAAATATCCAACAAAGATTATCATGGTATAAAAGCTATAAAGCTCCAGAAATGGCTTTGAAATACTTTATAACCCTACATCAGGAATTTTCATACTCAGCTTCAATTTTCAATTCTCAATAGGAAATATTTATTAAGAATTCTCTTGGTTACCATTGGAATCAAAACCTGTCATTAAAAATTATTAATACAATACCTAAACATGACAAATCAGACGTATCATTAAGAAACATTCATGTTCATAAGTAGGACTAAGTCCTGATCTAATTAATAAGTCATACAAAATCAGCACAACTTCTATATTCTTAATAGATTTTCTTAATTTCATGAATAAGCCTGCAACTTTCAAGCAAATATAGGAGTGAAATAGCAGCGAGCATTGGATTCTATACCCCATAAGGCAGCACATAAGATTTCAGAATTGAATCTCTTCTTGTATTTGCGGATCTCTGGGGTGTCACTCTGTGGCCGTGTATTTGTAGGATTGACATTAACGACTGATCCTTTTCTGGTTGGATCCTGCCTCATTGCTTCTGATCTCATTGCTTCACTAGAAAATCCCACTGAAGAGAGGGACAGAAGAGAGAAAAATGTGAAAAATAGAGAACATTTATAGTAATCTTAATATGCAGATGTTATACCTACATGAACACATTATGTTAAAGATCTCAATGACTTCAAAATAATTATGTTTGACTTTTGCCTTTACAAAAATATAAATGAAAACATTAAAATAAAGAGACATTATAAACATATACACTTTTAAAAACTATTTTTTATACTATTGATTTGTTGCTACTCTTATAACTTACCAACAGAAGTCACAGTAGTTCCACTAGATGGAGATATCTGTAGTAATCTGGGGTCTATAAAAGGTGTGAAGGAGGATGAAGATTTGTGTTTCTGCAGTGTGTTACTAGCGGACTGAGTCTGCAATGTAAATTTCAAATAATCATCTTAATATAAAACAAGTTAGTTATTAAAGAAACAGACATTTCATTTAGCTGTTACCATACAGCCTGATTTTCAGACGCGCTACATATGTAGAGACAATATAAGTGGTTCTTAAAAATAAGTAAAATTTAAACTACTGCTATGACAAAGCAGCCTTTGTTTTGGCTTTCACAAAATGTATTCTGAATATATTAAGCTTTATACTAAAAACTTAAAAGAATCTCCTCCTGTTGAAATAGGAGTCCCTGTTTTCTAAATCTTGGACTTTATCGTCCAAATTTTGTTCTTTTTTATTTCATTGTTTTATTCCCTACTTTATATTTCTGCCTGTGTCTTTTATACTGTCAGTAACCAATTGAGAAATATGATCTCCATATGCAACAAAGTATGCACAATTAAAAATTAAACTACCAGCTTTATCATTTTGACTTGTAATGATGTTTAGTATTATTTTCTTTTTTAAAAACTTTTATTTTGAAAATTGGATTCTTGCCAGAAAGTGCAGCATGTTCTTCCACCATCATTTTTACAGAAAAATATTACGATAATATTAAACAAGTGGACTTATTAGGAGGAGAAATGTGTAAATGATGACATGAAGATACTGGTGTATCTGGTTATAACACTAAACATGAAAAATACAAACAAGAAGGAAAATGAAATAATGAAACTTTTAGAATGGCTTAAAAAACCTGTTATGTATGTTATGTATGTTGTACAGAGTATGATGCATCTTAAAAGAAAATGACAGGAATGAAAAATTAAGTATGCCATATAAAGTTGATCTAGAAAAATAGCAATTTAGATTTAAATTGTTTTATGCCTTTTCTACTCATGCTGTTCAGTCTTCTTTCCTAGTAAATTTCTATCACTGGACATCTTTCACTATTGCCTCTAAAAAATATTTGTTTCCATTTCATATTATTTTGCTTCTATAAAACATATCTCCTCCAGAAACAAAATACATACAATTTAACATTAGGAGAATAATGAGGCTAGCACATTATTCTACCTGTTGATCATACTGTGCAATTACTGACATAAGATTTCTTTTGCCATTTTTTCTGCATATGGAAGGCTCCCTTTGACCATAGGATGAGCATCAGATAGACAAATTTATACTAATAAATGAAGCTTTCATTAGTACAATAAAACCATTTATACAATCAATTTATATCAAATGGTATGCAAAAACTATTATTAAAAAATTATTAGAAAAAAATTATTAGAAAAAAAAATAGGGAGATCTTTATCATTTATAACTGCAATGCAAGCTTTATAGTCAGAAAGGGAGAGCATTTGTCATATTACCTAAAAGAACTGCACAAACTGCATTTTTATATACTTTACTGATAGAGCATTTAAACAGAACTGGCCATTACATGAAACAGAATTTCTTATTACATATAGATATTACCTAAGTGTTGATATAAACCATAATTACTTTTATTGTTTAGCAACTTGACATTCATTTCAGAAAAGAAGATAGCCTTTCCGTTCAGTTGAGTGCATGCTTGGGTATAATGTGTTTCATTTCATGAGAAGATTAAATGTATAAACTATACAACTTATCAATCCTCTTAACAGTAGGTGTAACTAGGAAGTGGTATGCTAGGAGCTACACACACAGAGAAGCTAAGAAAATGTGAAAGTGACCTAAAGTTGAGGGTCTAGAACTTAGAATACCATATTTATTTTTCTGGGTTGTTTCATTTTTCTTTATGACCTACTAAATGGACAAAACTATCCATGACTTGTTAAATGAATCTGATCTTAAGAGGAAAGAGCTCATGTAATCACTGCAGCACATACTACACAGGATTTGTTTTGTCATCTGAATGCAATCTATATCTATTTCTAAAATGTTTAGGAACTTTTGTTCATTTATCATTATTTCTATATTAAATAGAGAAATAGATTTATTTTTAGATATTTTATCTGATTATTGGACAAGCAACATACTATAACTGTGCTTCATATCATGTGGTTGATAATGTCTATATGATTTTAAAAAGCAATATATAAGGATTTCCCTTTTTCTAATATGAATAAGCAAAAAGCATCAACTTGGAATTTACTGTTAACCACTCTTAGGAAGTAATGAGGCATATAATCTAATAACTGTTTACAAGGTATACCTACTGTGGTTTATTAGCCTCATTGTCTTACAATGCTGGAATCTGGATGAAGATTTCATCTCAAAACTTAGTTTAGAACCAATCCCTCAAACTGCAATTAAAGTTTTGCCTCAGAATTTAAATGGCAGATACTTTAATCAGAAAATTACTCAATTAGTTGCCAGTCTGCCTTCTTTCATTACTAAACATGAGCTGCCATTACAGTTTTAAGCATCATATGACTAGTTGTATGCCATTTATACTAACTTTTAGATCTTGTGGTGATTTTACAAGGATTAGGCTATTATTGCCATGGCATACTTTGCTTCTGATTGAGAATCTAAAAAAGAGCTCAACGTCAAGAATCCCCAACCCCTGACCATGGCCTACTATTGGACTGTGGCTATGTGAGCAGTGAGACTGTGGCTATATGCCAGTGCACATGCATGCATACACTCAACTTGTGCAAGTGGTGGGCCAGCACACGTGCACATATGTGCGCAGTTCAACTTGCACAGGTTGAGCTGGCCGTGCCAGCCCACCACTTGCACAAGTTGAGCTGCATGTGCACGCGTTCACACTGGCCCACCACTCGTGTGGCCTGGTTCCCCTCCCCCCCCCTGGGCTGCCAGGTTACAGAGTTTGGGGACTACTGCTCTAAGTGGTTGAAAACAGGGGTATTTAACTTCAATGCAGTAAGCAATTTCAAAACAGCTTCACTCCTCTCATACATGAAGAGTCAGTTTGAGTAAGGTTTTAGCCTAACAGGATGAAATGAAACTGTTCCTATGCTAAAAACTTGCACATCTTATGTATTTAGAAGAATTCACGTGCATAATGTATCTTCTTTATTGCTAGTGGATGACATTTTAAATCTCTTATAGCCTGCAAACTGAAAGGGTATTTGTATTCCGGGAAAACAGCCTCCTATTTTATAGTCTCCTGTCAGAGCAGAACCATATGTTAAAAACAAGGCAGCTCATTTTAACTAACAATATAAAATAAAACAAATTTAAAAATTCATAAAAATAAACTGATTATTACATTAATATTTTCCCCTAAAGGAGAGACTTATGATTAGGCTTGAGAAAGCTTCCTTTGAAATACAGTGTATCCTTTTCCAAAGCAAGGGCTCCCTGCATGCACAGTTCTCGAGCACTGTGCTAAATCAGGCAGCACTGTTACTTGAAAAAGCCAGTCACACTAGGATTACTTTTAGACACTTCCCAAAATAGCTTTGAAACAAATACTGATAAAACACTCAGTTTAGGTGATACAAAAGCCATGCAATTAATTACTTGTAAAAAGCAAAACAAAATAGTAGTCAACTGGCAAATTTGGGGTAAAAATTCTATAGTCAGAGTGCTGAAATGTGTTACTTTGGGAGAGTGAAGGGACAGTGATAGGAAGAAGAGCAGCAGAAGGGACACTAGTTGGAAATTCTCTGGATGCTAGCTATTAGGAAATACATTTATAACCCTATGAAAGCAGCCAGCTGTGGTGCAAGACATACCTCATTAGTAGTTAGCTTGTCCTGGGGTGTCTGTGGGGACATGGTGGGTGTCGGCTGGCTGGAGGATGGGGAGGAGGAGGTGGAGGAAGTGGAGGAGGAATGGCTTTGCTGTAAGAGATCTGGCAAGAGGTGAATGCGACCGGCAAAGCCATTGCTCTCATGATGGCTGGCACGCTTTGTGTCAACTGTACTCTGTAGAAAAAACAGGCACACTTGTCTTGCTCAAGTGCTGTGTACAAGTCTATGCCCTAGCAAAATGATCTATTTTAAATGTTTCAACCAATGCATTAATCAACCAAGCCTTCACTGTGGAGTGGGATTTACTGTATTTTTTTCTTGCAAAGCCAATTTCTTTACTGGTTTCTACAGATCACATCTATGATGGCACTTGTGTGGATTCTCCTTGTGACTTTTTTTTTTTTTTTTTTGCTATCATGCTTGCATTCAATTATCATTCTGGTGAATGTCCTAATTTAGCTGTTTAAACAATAATCATGCCATCTAAATAAAATATGGGGGCTCCATTACAAAAATGATGTTCAGTTGAAAAATAAGAAATGTAATTAGTAAAGTTCATGCCCTGTGATGTACTTAACCTAATATACCAGGAAGTTCAAGACAACAGAGGCCTTTTCTCAACCATTTCTTACATAATATCTCATTACACCAAGATTATGGCCCAATATTTCTACTCCTAAAGATAAGTTGCCTTGGTCTTGAAACCTGCCTAGATAGGAAATGTCTTGTGTAAGCTGGCTGAACTCTTCAGTGAGATAGTGTGGTGCAACTGTAAGTGATTTAAAATGAACTAGATGATCCTTATTTTACTGTTTCAGGGCTCTCTCACCACCTTCTCTTAAGATGCCATAAGAAGTGATACAAATGCAACTGACTTTACACCAGGTTCCTGCTATGACATCTACAGTTTTTTTTATTCCACATTAGAAGAGATTAAAATAAACACTGCAGAATCATACAACAGTCATTCCAATGTATGCAAGCAACACACAGTGGAAACGATAGGTGAAAACTATTATTCCCTTTGCATGCTCTAAATCTGTTTATTCACAAATGGCTACCATCTGGGTCTGTAACCAATTTTAAAGTGGGAAAAGATAAATGAGAGAATGAATGAATTGATGAAAAGGAACAAATACATATTGAAAGATGCATTACCTGTCGGACGATTAAAGTGCCCTCCTTGGAAGGAGTCATGGCAGGTTCACTTTCCACATCATCATGCACAATCATTGTTTTTACTGATTCCGTTTCTCCATTGCTGAGGTTCAAAGTGGATCTGTTTGGTGAGGACATTTCATAATTGGTGCTTCAATATTCAAGATTCACTAAAATATTAAAATAACTACAACTACAGAATTACTTATTACGTATCCATGAAACACCTGTCTTTTAAGAGATTATGGAATTAGAAATGAATTGTTATTGTTACCATCAGACTTAGCCTTTTATTTTTCTCAGTTTGTTATATATTTTTCTTAAAGTTTATTTTTTAGAAGTGTATAGTAAAAAGGACAACCGTATAAATTACAAAGATTCTGTCAGTGCTGCGGACAATTGAGAAATTATAGCCATTTTACCTTTTGCTTTCCTTGTGCTTTTTTCTGTTATTTGGGATTCTCAGATGTAGAGGGGAGAAAGGGGGAATGCTTGAGCATTTTCTGTTAGCCATAACATTTGTAGCTGGGTGAGAATCAAGGTCAATGTTAGATAAAGTTTTGGTGGGTTGAAAAGTTGGGAGGAGAGCCTGCGGTTTAGAATAATTGATGAATATGATTTATGGGGTGGGAATTGCAACTTGTTACTTTGTATCAGGGGGAGGAAACTTTAGTCTATGTACGTGCAGATACTTTGCCACCTATTTACCAGCCGATACTTTGATTCCTGAATAAAATGTTCTTTGAGGAATAAATCTTTGCCTTGAAGTTTTTTAAAAGGTTTCATCTATCGCAGTGGTGGCGAATCTATGGCATGCGTGCCAGAGGCGGCACTCAGAGCCCTCTCTGTGGGCACATGTGCCTTGCCCCAGAGATGGCAACCGTCCCTCTTCAACCAGCCGCCGCTAACTCACTGAGGTCCCACGTGGCCGGATGCATCCTAGCACGGTTGGCTTCCCTCCCCCCATCCCATCCCTCCTGGCCTCGCATGCTCTCCTTTTCCCAGGCACAACCCACTGCATCGCCTCCTCAGCTGTCGGCTGGCCGTCCAGCTCAGAGGCGGCTTCTCTGAACTGCTGGTGGTAGACTGTGGAGCCCCAGAGTGCGCTGTTTGAGGGGCCGACAGGTTGTGGCTGCTGACGGACACTGTCAGCCCCCATGCGCTCACTGGCCTATGCGTGGGGGCCGATGGGGTCAGGCAGCAGCCACCCTGGCCCCTGCCTCGCCTTGCCCTGCGGCAATGGGACCCCCGCCCTGCCTCGCCTCACCCTGCAGAACAAGTCTCCTGCCCACTGTCCCACCTGCCAAAGACCCCCTGGATCTCCCCAACCCTGCCCAGCCCCCACAGACGTCCCTCCCCACGAGCAACATCAAGGTGACTACACCTACCTTGGCCACAACCACTCAGTCTGCCATGACCACCACAGCTACACCCACCCAGTGGGCCACACCCACCTGGCACCCGGCGATACATAAGTGGGTTTTGGGGTGCAGTTTGAGCACTCGGTCTCTAAAAGATTCGCCACCACTGATCTATCGGAACCATGATAGATTCTTTAATAAAGGGAAATAGGAAAAATGCAACTAACACTGCTCTGGCATCTTCAGGGCCAGAAGTAGATTCATCAACTCCTTCTTGCTCCATATCATCCTCCTCCTCATCTGTTGTTCCTGATTCTTCACTTGATGATGAATAATCTGTCACTTTGTGAGGTGGTCGTACATCTTCCACTGCCCGCAATTCCTTTGCTAAAGCAGTTAAATCCTAGAAAGAAAAGCATATCATAACAACGTTTCAAAATTAATGCTGAACCTGTTTCAACAGTTTGTTCCAAGAACTGAATCCCATTAATTAACTGATACTTTTATTTTACATTTGGTAAATTATTTTAGGAAATACTGATAAACTGGTATATGTTTTAATGCTTTAATTCTAATAGAATTAAATCAAGCAAAATTCACTTCATATAACCTTCACAGCAGGATTTGAAATTTAACATCTCCTGAGATAGGACATGAGTGTTATTGAATGAAATTCTTTTCCTATTAGTTTTCTTAATTTAGCTTTATCATATAATCTCTTTCCTCCTAGTTGCCTGTTATATTCTGCCCAGTTTTGCTAACAATAGTCCCTGAGATTCCACAGATTTTTTTTGGCAGTTTCAAATGGCCACATGTGGAAAAAGAGGATGGAAAGTTTTGTAAATTTAAATTAAGTCATGTTAAGGTTTGAAGTTATTCCATAAATTAACTCTACTTACCACTTCTCCCTGAAGATCAGTCACATGACAAAAAAAGCAAATCAACATTGGACCAAGATATGGTGCATGGTTTGGGAAAGGAAGATAAAATGCAAAATTAGTACAGGAATTAAGGCACTTATCTTGGAGGGTCACTAAAATTACAACATTGGCTTACTTAAACACTTAAATGAAGGAATGAAATACATAACTAAAATACAACATTAATTCAGGAATTAATCCAATTATCTTGGGTCTTAAAGATACTAAAATTACAGCAGTGGCTTACTTAAAATTTTAAAGGAAGGAGTAAGAAAGTAGAGCATGAAATAAGAGCGTGACATGGGATTATCAATAAGAATCAGTAGTGGAAAGTAGAAGCTTGTTTTTCCCTATTTCCCTTTAAATTTTATAAGAAACAGTAATATAAAAACCAAAAACATCTTTGCTGAATCATACTAATGAACTGCTTCCATAAAAAGTCAAAATGACCTCAATAGGGGGAAAGAAAGCAGATATAAGATTTAAGGAAACAAATTAATTTTTTTCTAATATTTGAATCAAATTAGATTTGGCCCTGCTGATCTTCAGAAAAGTTTTCTATTAGTGCATAAGTAAACAAGCTAATTTTAATGTATGGGAAAACTATAACTGTGGGAAACTATGTGTACAGATTTAATTATAGAAATGAAAGGCAACGTCCCTTCTACTGCTGGACGAAATGCAGTTAGGGGAAAGAAGAAACGCTGCTTTTTTTACTATCTGCACAGATTGGCTTTCAGTACGTCACCTCTGTTGAATGGAAGGGTGTTGGTGTTGAATGGGCAATAGAGCTAAAGGCAACTCAGTAGGGTTTTCAGGAAAAAATGTTTGCAAATTGAAAAATATGTTTTCCTGAGTAGTATTGACATAAGTAAGACTCATGGCTTTCTGTAATGAGTTAAGAATGACTGGAAGTCCTGGTCTTGAATGTCCTAAGTTTAGCACAATTGTGAAAGCAAAGCAAAGCAAAACAAAACAAAACAAAACTCCCTTCAAGAAAGTCGGGGGGGGGGGGGAGAGAAAACTCTAACTCTACCCATTTCTGTGCCCTATTCACTTTGCACTATCACTGCCTATGGAGATTCTTTCTTGGCTCCATGTTAACATAGGTCTCAGTCATCAAAATCATCACTGTAATTGTGCCTAAAGCTTTCCCATTTGGACTGACTGTCACATAGTTTTCAAGAATTCTAAAATCTCTTAGATATTATTTGCTGATTTAAATTCCGCTTGCTTGGGTTAATTGCTTTGAAATAGTTATTGGAAATATTATGAAATTAAAAATGCTAGGAATAAAAATAAACTGCTTATGTTATCTGCAGATGACCAACGTTAATAAAAATTAAACATCACACCTGATTCATTCATTTCCTTATCATCTAATTCAAACAATTATCACTGTCTTCTATGCAAAGATATAGACCATAAATATAGAGCTAACAAGCAACAGAAGAGCCTTACCGCAGGTTTGCAGGGTCTGAAGACTTCTTTCTTCTCTTCAGTCTTTTTGGCTGCAGTTTCATTACGCTGTGAAGGTGAACCTTCAGATTTTGATGATGCTAAGTAATCAAGTAACACAAAAGCCCAGTTTATTTAAAAAAATAAAATAAAATAGAAAAATGGAAACATCCAGCAACAAACAATCAGACAGTTCTTGCTACCATTGCAAAAAAGAAAACAAAGCCAGTGTTATAAGGATCCAAAATAAATAAGAAAAAGTTTCTGAAGCATTTGAAACAGAAAATAGTTATTAAAAAATGTCAGTTTGATTAATAGAGTCAATATTAATAACAGACCATAAGAGAATAATGCAGTTAGTACTTGGTTAACAATAATTCAGACCAAGAACTTCATTACCAAGGAATGTGGCCATAGAGTGTGATGTTATGTTAGTATATCAACGTACAATGGTAGTTCTGGTAGTTCTACTTGCCATTTTTAGGCAAATCCCACATGGTTATTAGGTGTATCATTATCGGATTGTCATTTACAGCTTCCTGTCAATCTCCTTTGCTTGTTGGAAGTTGGCAGTAAATGTTCCAAACAGCAAACATGTGACCACAAGACACTTGACTGTCATAATTATAACTTGTCAAATACAATCACATGATCAGAGGGATATTGTGACAGTTGTAACTTCAAGAAGTATTCCCAAGTTTGCTCATTTAGCAACATCATAACATTCAATGGTTGCTGAAAGAATGGTTAGCCAAGGACTACCTGTACATTTCTTTATCAACATATTCAAAGGTATTCTTTCCAGATTAAATTTCTGTTTAAGTGTTCCTACATATATAGCTCTTATAACTTAAAGTGACTTGGAAACAGAAACGTTTGTGTGTGTGTGTGTGTGTGTGTGTGTGTGTGTGTGTGTAAAATGCATGTAAGTGTGTATATTTCATGTATGTGCCAGTATAATCTCAGCATCATATAGGAAAAGTCTACTACCCTTGGTCTTACAGAAAGTGTTAAGCATAGGTTATAAAAACTTCCTTTTGTAGAGGGATAGATAGATAAGTAAGTAAGTAAGTAAATATATAATTAAATAAAATTGTTTGAAGGTTTATAAATGCATGTGGCTCTTCTTCACTTGAAATATTTTTTTTTTTTTGCTTATATCTCATTCAAAATCTCTTTCTGGATGCAATGAACCTGGAATGTATTTGTGGGAATAATTTATTTTTTTCCTTACATCTCATCCGGAATCTTTCTCCAGATCCACTCTGGGAACCAGGATGGGAACCAGGCTGTGAACTCGAATTGCTTGATCCAGAAGAACTTCCACTTCCTGGTCTTGGTACCAGTTTTTCCACTCTTTCCCAGAGCAACCGAGGTTCTATATTGCTAAAAATGATAAGATTTTTTAAAAAATGATTAATTATGACCTTTCTTTCTTTTTTTTAAATTAAAATTCATATTTTACCTCTCTTTTCGGATAGAGATTGGAAACCTTAGACCTGCTAGATTTTCCTGTTTGGTTTACAAGAGCTTAGACTGTTCTTCTTCTTCCTGCTGATTTGGTGCCTTTTCTCAATAAGAAAATAGCTTGAATAATTTCAGATGTTAATCTATTTTCAACTAGTTTTTCTCCTCAGCTGTCTCCTCCTGGATATAGTAAAAGGGGATACATTTTCTTTAGCTTAACACACTGACTGTGTCAGCAGAAGTGAATCCGCTTTCTGAAGATCAAGCTTCTTATTTCTACTCTTGGATCTGCCCATGGGACTCTTTCCATTTTAATAACAACTCTGTAGGCAGGCAAGATTGAGGGATAAGGGCCAGCCTAAGGTCACATATAAATTTCCATGGACAATTTGAAACTGAATCTTCCTAATCTCAGTTTTAGCAACATTTCTAGGAGATAGGATCACCCTTTGGTCACTGCATTTAAGCCTGTTTTATTAATCTATATCTTCTTAAAGAGTCCAACTGAACACATGAAAACTAAAGCAAGCAATTTGAAAACACAAAATTGCATTTACATGATTTCATCTGGTTTGGGAATATTACGCCAATGAGGTCACTATTTACTGAGGCTTATTTATCAACTAGGAATGCCATTTCCAACTCCTTACTCAGCCTTTATGGTCCTTACAAGAGCTTTGACCTGTTTGCACCAGAACAATAAGAAAAAAAAATAAGTTGTACATGTTGTGCTTTCCCTTTGGAAGGTAATGCAGCTTATGCTAAAACAAAAAGTCATGGAAATGGATAGCAATGACAACAGTTACAATAAGAAGAGTAGTGGGGATACCCAAAATCTAATAATCGAATCTGCATTGCCTATAACCTGTCTGAAAAAGACAAAAATGTACATTTCAGAAATCTGATCTTCATTAATCCACAAATAAGACACAATAAAGGCAAAAAGCCAACAAGAATAACACAAATATAGTTTATGTGAGTCTAGCAGCTATTTTGTGCTAATGTTTAAAAAAGGCATCTGGAAATTTCACCTTCAAAATTACACTGTTTACTATTTTTTATTATTGCCCTTGAAATATAAAGTGTGTGTTTCAACAATGCAAGATTAATCCTTTGTAAAAAAATACTTTGCAACACTCCATGCTTTATCAAAACTTCTTAGATTTCCAGAACTGAAAAGATAATAAAGCAAGTATTTATTTATAGAAAAAATGTATCCCTAGGTATAATTTTAAACCACTGAGATTAAACCCTCAGCACAATACAAAGAATATATTCCACAGATTTGAAAGACACTATCAATGATGTCACTGAACTCCTGAACTATAATTATCCATTATGATTTAGGTGAGGTATAGGAAACAATCTTTTTAAAATCTATTCAGGAATCCCAAAGATGCTTTTTTCATGAGGCAGCTGGACTTTCTTGTTTTTCTTTTAAGACATTTTGCTTCTTATCCAAGAAGCTTCTTCAGTTCTGATTGGACAGTGGGAAATGGAAGGATTTATACTCCTTGCAGACAGTTTCATTTGCATTTTTTAGAGAGGCCACCTTGAGTTTATCTCAGGTCACCTGAGTAGTGCAAATGGGTGTGGAGCCTTCTTGGAACTGTTGAAAGGACTGTGTTGCAGACTGGAGATAGCTGATGTCATATCCCTCCCCCTCTGTTGAGAGAGGACTGTTCAATTTTGAAATAGATGGCTTTTTTAACCCCTCTTTCAAATCAGTGGTCCTCTGTGTCTAAAATGTGGATTTTCTCCTTCGAAAGAATGGCCTTTGTCTTTTAAATGCAGATGGACTGCTGAATCTTGTCCTGATGGGTTTGTTCTCCTATGTCGTGCCATGTGTTCAGAAAGTGGTTTACTGCATATACCAAGCAGATTGCTCAGTTTGTATCTGGATGTTTTATCCTTGGGGTGGACAAGTTTCTGCCTTTTTTTATAACTATAACTATTTTCTGTTTCAAATGTTTCAAAAACATTTTCTTATTTATTTTGGATCCTTCTAACAGTGGCTTTGTTTTCTTTGTTGCAATGGCAGCATCTTTGAAGATGTGGTCTCAATGACTCTCCAAAAGAATGTAAATGACCAGCTGTCTGCAAGGAGTATAAATCCTTCCATTTCCCACCATCCAGTCAGAGATGAAGAAGCTTCTTGGATGAAAACCAAAATGTCTTCAAAGAAAAACAAAGAAGTCCAGTTGCCTCCTGAAAAAGCATCTTTGGGACAATTATGACCTAGATCAGCGGTTCTCAACCTATGGGTCGCGACCCCATTTGGGGTCAATCGACCATTTCACGGGGGTCGCCAAACCACACTGTCCGCCATTTTTTTCCCTTTTCCCTAGCTGCTCTACTCCCTCTTATTGGCTTTCAAAAGTGCCGTTCCTGCCTCCCTCCTCCTTGCACATGCGCAGCTTTTTTTTATATAAAGTTAGGAAGTTTCAGTTTCAGAGCACGTGGCGGAAAGCGAGAGAGAAACAACCAAAAGCGGTAAGTTTCGTCTCTGGGGGAAAGGGGTTAGCAAAAGGATGCCACGAGCTTAAAAGAAATCGCAATAAAGAGGACGGCGAGCATGCATACTGTCCACCCAAACACACACCAAGTCTTGTTGCAGCAACATTAAGCCACGACTTACACGCCTTCTTTTAGTCTGCCTTCGCGATAAGCCAGCAGAATCAAAACTCCCTCTCTCTCTGGTGGCATTGAACCCACAGCAATGGTGTGTGTGTGTGTGTGTTTGTTTAAACAGCAGCAACAAACAATAAAAAGTATGTGTGTGTGGGGAGAGGGGAGATAATGATAAAGGTGACAGACCAGGTTTTCAAGCCGATCTCTTTTGCGGTGTATCCAGCCTGACCCCATTCAGAAGAAAGGCAGGCTGCAGCCGGAAAGAAATGGGGGAAAGACATCTGCACCTTTTGTTACACTCCCCGAACCCCCCTCCCATTTCTGAGTGGCCTCTCGCGCAGATCTGGTCAGGGAGCCACACAATTCTGGGAGGCGAAAAGGGGTGCAGGGATATTTCCAGAAACGAGCAAATCCAGTACACACAGCGACGCCCATATTCTCCCCGGCAGATTCTACCTCTCGCTGCAAGAAAACACATTTAAAGTTTCTCTGCCCCTTTAAACCCAAGACCTGCCTCATTTGCATACTAGAGCGTTTCCCTGATTAGCCCAGCTTAAACCTTAAAGCTCCGACATCCCTCAAAAGCCGCTTCTCCTGATGCCAGGATCAAAGAGAAAGCTGTTTAAACTTCACCTATTTTTTTCCCCCACCTCGGAAGGTAACTTAGGTTCCTCCATATCGCGTTCACCCAAGCCAAGCCACCATCTGAAAATGGGCCTCGGGTTGGGCATTGATTGCGCCTGCAGTGAGGGGGGGAAGTAGGGACCGCCTTTCCTAAAAAGCCCTGCGCGCCCCCACTTTCTTTGCCGGTTTTTTCTCCCCCCCCATCCACCAGCTCGAGTACGTTCGCATTCCCTGAACCAAAAAAGCCGCACTCAATATATTCAGCTGAGCGGGAGGTCTGGGATCAGTGACGGGGCTGCGAGGCTGGCCATTCCCATCTTTTCCGTGCTTCCCTTTTGGTGATTTGCACAGCAGGGAATATTATCTTTCTAATTTTATTTACGGTAAGTTTCCAGAATCTGGCATCTGCTTTTCTGATTTAATTGCATAGCCATAGTGGCTCTTTCTGTGCACGTTGTTGACTGAGTCCTAGGCCGACTCCACTTGGGGCTTTATAAATAAGAGCCCTTGATCCTTTTTACCCGTCACTAATGTTTGGATCTCATCTTCAAAATGTCTTTCCCTGCAGCGAATGAAATTGATTAGCATGATGTCCTTGCTGTGATTATAGCATGGATATATGAATTTTCAGAGGTAACCAATCAACTGTGTGTAAACTTCCTCTTCATGGTCTGGATCAGGGAAAAATGGAGTTTTCCTTTGGAGAACATTATGGTGATTAAATGAATGAAAATGGAGAAATATCTTCTACTCAACTTTGCATAAAAAGTTAAATAATCTTATGCTTGTAATATTGATGTCCTAAATGGCAATTACACTGATAGAATGTTTTATTTTCAACACTTTTTAAAAAATGTTAACAATTTTAATCATATTGCTAAACATTACTTCACTGAAATCTGCATTGAAATAATATATTGTATCAATAATTATAATAAAAGGGGGAGGAGCAAAAAATTACCATCCCATACATTCAGTGAGAAGAAGTGTTCCCTTGCAGTGGCTAAAGAGCCTGGGGTATTATGATTTGATTCACCCAGCATCCAAAGCAAACCAAAAAATCTTATCTTGGTTTTGTGGTTGTTAAACCATGATTTACTGTGGAAGCTGCTGTTATGGTTTATTCAGCTAATAGAGTTCATCAGGTGCCTGGTTCGGCATAAAGGGGAGCCCTTTGCAAGCAGCAGTGATATAGTATTACTAATGGATTTTTGTTTTTTAAGCATAGTGATAAAATCCTTTCTGGTCTGAAGGCTTGTTTTAAAGGGCTTTCTTTTTTTTTTGACTTTGTTCTCTTCCAAAAGAAGCTTGTGGTGCATGGTTTACACTTGGCAACTTTTTCATCAGTAAATCTTGGCTTAGGTTGAAACTCTTTTGACTATTTTAAAAGTAATTCCAGTCACCTTTGTAGTTTTCCTAGAAACATCCAGAGAAATGTTTTTTTTTTTAATTACAACCTGTGTCATTTGGGGGTGGCCATGTCCACCAGATACAGAGCTGCAGATGCCCAGAATTGGTCCTGCAACCTTCCATTGTCTCCCACTGACTCAGATCCACTTAAAAAATATTCCTCTACTCTGCTTTCTTCCAAGTACAAACAAATGCTCAAAGAAATTAGCTTGGACTTTGGAAGGAGGTAGCATCAGTATGTTGATGGCATTTTGCTTGCCTTGTGTTTGGCCCAGAATCAGTGTCTGAGATCAGTAAGGGGTTGGGAGGGAGCCAGTCAACTACTGAGCTGATTGTGCAGTCAAATGGTCTCAGTCTGCTTTCCTTTCCTCCTGAATGAATCTTCTTCACCTGGATGCCCTCTTGATGTGTGGATTAGAATTTGCCTCAACTGATGCTATCAACTGGTGATCTGGAGATACAGATCTTTGATACAGTTTTGGTAACTTCTGCAATGTATTGCCTATGACTTCTGGTTTGTGATTTGGTGATCTCTGTGTTTTCTTGCAGATGTTTCATTACCCAACTAGGTAACATCAAACTAGGAAATACCGTATCTTCCGGCCTATAAGACGACCCCCAACTTTTGAGAAGATTTTCAGGGTTTAGAATCCTAAACCCTGAAAATCTTCTCAAAAGTTGGGGGTCATCTTATATGCCGGAAAATACGGTATTCCATTTCTAGTTTAAGTTTCTGTTACTACTAAACCTGTTTTAAGACTTTATCAATTTACAATTTCCATAATCAAATATTGTTTTACTTCAACAGATTATCACTTCAATTATCTCTTCCAGATATGTTCAAGTTCTTAATCTCTCTCATCCCTCTTTTAATCATCAGTCTCATTTATATCTTCTTCCAATAATAACTAACTTAGTTAAAAAAAAGAAACAATGTTAAACCTTACTTCATTTCAATTCATTACACAAACTTCAAATCACATCCAAATAATTATTTACATTGCCATTCAGAACAGTAGCAAAATTACAGTTATGAAATAGAAACTAAAATAATTTTATGGTTGGGGGTCACCACAATATGGTGGCCACGCCCACTTGGTGGCCACACCCACTTGGTGGCCACACCCACTTGGCCACGCCCCCTGGGGGTCACCACAACATGGGGAACTGTATTATGGGGTCACGGCCTTAGAAAGGTTGAGAACCACTGACCTAGATGATTAAGAATCTACATAGACTATTCAGGAATGCTTTTGAATTTGAATAACAGTTGCATTCAAGCAATTGCAAGCTAGCTTTCTGCTAGCTTCTCTCTTGACTTTTAAAAGTTGGAGTGAAGCAAGGATGGTGTTCTTGTCCACATTTTTCTTTATCTACTAAAAATATATTCATATGATATCTTCAGGTTATTATGAGGTATTATGTTGGGTCTCTAGAATCCAAGCTATTTAGTGTTATCCAGGTAATTCTCAACTTATTGAGGACTTACAGTTGCTTAAGAACTTTCAAAATTATGATGAATTTGAAAAAAGCTACTTATGGCCATCATTGCAGTTAAGACTTTTGGACCATCCCTGCAGTCTTGTGATTGCATTTCTGGTATTTGACAACCAGTTCACATTTATGGCCAGTTGCAGTATCCCATAGTCACATGATTACATTTTGCAATGTTACTTTGCCACTTTCTGGCAAAAAAAAAATGCTTATTGGATAATCTGGCTTTGGACTAATGATCATGTGATGTGCTTAACAATCACAATGATTCGCTTAATGACCATCATCAAAGTGATGAGCTCAGTTACATGGTGACTCAATTTATGATCACAGTGACTTACAACAAAAATTCTAGGGTCTACTGGGATTGTAAATTGAGGACTACTTGTAAATGTAATCACAATACTAATGTATGCCAAGAAGCAAACTAGCTATAAATACAGAAAGGAATATTAATATAACATCAATGCATTGTTATATATCCATTAACAAACTTGCTTCTACAGTCTGGATCAGTATAAATTTATAGGATTCTTTAAAGACAGTCCAGATATAGTATATTACAGTGATTCACCTGTGATACAACTGAGAAAAAATTGGCCATATACTCTACCAGCCTAAACTGGAGCCCATTGTAGTGCAGACTATCACTTCCAACTAATCACATTCAAATGTTGGATTATGAGACACTCCAACAGATTGTGATTTCTTTCTTTCTTTCTTTTTTAAGAGTGTATGATCTTTGGCCATTGAAAGCTCACTGAATGACTGTAGCAAAGCTCAAACTACCTCACAGGGTTGTGGGAAAAACTGAACAATGAAATGTTATGTATAGTGCCTTGAGCCCTTGGGGAAAAGGCAGGATATAAAATAACTGAATAAATATGTTAATCCTGATCCAGCCTGTCACATGATATACTGTAAGCCTAAAGGTCTAGTAATTTTCTTGGGGCTGATGACAAAAGAAAAGTAAACTGCTCTGTCATTTGTGGGTCTGGCAAAATGCAATCTATATTCTAAAATAAGCTCTACGATCTCTAGAGGTTAAGCTAGAGTTTAATGTGTTACTCTACAAATGACTAAAGCTAAAATCACCATACCTTTCTTGCTAAAAAATGAGAAACATCAAAATGCTCTCGTATTTTAATATGATTAAATCAAAGGAGGGATTTTTTTGATGAAGGTCTCACTGCAAATTCAACACATTTGTCACCTACTCTAGCAAGTCTCTTATGACTAACTTAGACAATAAAGCTAATGCAATTATGCATTGCCTAAGAGACTGATCATACATAGAATCCACATTCTCAATCTGTACAAGCTGACAAAATCACAAAACAGGTTTAAGAGACATGATTAGAAACTGCTATAACTTTGGTATCTGAGGGAGCAGATGTAAGTTACTTTAGCCCATAAAGTGCTCCACTGAATTGTCATAATTAAACAGAATTAAAGAGGAGATGGATTAAAACTGGTCAATGTAACAGACAGGTTTCTGCAATCATTTCTGGTATTTCAGTAAAGTTAAATAATAAGTAAATTATTGTTTTTGCTACTATTCTCTGACATATTAAATATATTTTAAAAAGAGGCTGAAGTATGATAACCTAGCACAGTTCTTCAGAAGGAAACTCTATATAAATGGTGCTGGAAAGTTATTAAGATGTTATTACTTCCTAAAGATATAAATACACCTTTTGAGATTGCTTAGCTATAGCAGGCTTTGGCTTAAAAAAAATCAATACAGCTCAAATCTTATATTCTGAGTGAAGATGGGATTCCAGAGTGCTTTCCCCATCAACCCTTGATGTCAGGAAGAAAACATTACAAACCTCGTGGAGTTTCTTTGACCTGCTTGGTTATTTTGCTGCCCAGTGTTTTGTAGTGGAGAATCTCGGCGGGATAGCACAGGTGATCTGGATGTGGTTCTCACTGGTACCTTATGGAATAAACAAGGGGAAATAAAAATAATTAATATAGTGTTGCATGTGGAAAACTATATTTCTTTTGCTCCTGTAAAGATATACATAAATATATACACAGATATATTACTAAATATATAAAGCTATATTACTAGTACCTAAATAAAGTAATTCTATTGGTTAAAATGTTCACCAACTATAGAACCCATAAATCCAGTTGGACTGCATTTAAGATGTTGAAAAAATAGGACACTTAGTAAATAGCTAGCATAGAAACAAATAACTATTCATTCACAGACGATCATGACAGAACATAGAACTTTAAAGCAAAAGATTTACAAAGCAATAGGCTACAATAGCATGGGGATTTAGAAAATTAAGCTCTAAGGAACCAACAAATGCTTAGTAATGAATCAGTAAAAGGCAGACTAGAAGGAAAGCAAGATTATATCTGATAAAAGTAAATCACATTAAAAATGTTTTTGTGGTCAATAGTATCTTAAATATTTACTGACTTAAGTTAATTAAAGGATGAAAAATAACTTTTGGCTATGATTTTTTTTTGTTTGTGTTTTCTTGGATATTACCTTTTGTATGATAAATATTTTATTTATGAATAGTAGACAGCTTATACATTTTTGCTGATCTTCAATTTTCTATAATCCCTTATCTACTTTCAAAGGCAAATTCTTCTTGAAAAAAAAAAATGAGGAAGAGGAGGAGAAGGATTATTATTATATACCACCCTTTAAAAAAACTCCGCAGAGTGGCATATGAACATATTAAAAGCCTGTTTCTGATATTCTACAGGTGTGCATTCATTAATTAAATACCTAGCACATGCCTTCTGTTATTCTTTGGTTTAAAAAAGTCAAACTTCTGTCTTTCTATTTCTTACCCTTGGAGGAACCTCGTCACTGTCTGATCTAGCCCAAGACTTTTGGGTGGGGTCAGGTACCTCAGATTTAGAGTCAGAACTTTGATTTAGCACTTCACTGCGTGAAGGTGGATATGGGTCCTGAGAGCGCAGATGGTGATGTACAAATTTGGGAGAAGGGTCACTGAAGGAATGGGACCGTGAGACAGGGGGAACATTGTTCTTGAGAGATGCCAGATGAGACCACTGTACCTTACAAAAAAAAAAAAAAACATAGAACATTCAATGCGTTCTGTACAACTGACTTTTCCCAATTAAACACAGAATAAAAGGCAAGAAGGATTTAGCTACCAGGGTGGTCACATCAGCGGTATGAAGCAAGGCAAACACATGATGAAATCAATGGGCTTAAAGCAAGGAAGATGCTTAGAGACCATGAAAAGTTATGAACACAGTGTAGTGGCATGTCGGAAAGCATATTCTGAACATACAGGTTCATGGAAGGGAATGATAGAAAATCCCACTTGTTCTAACATGTGGTCAAAGTTCCAAACCAAATTTAAAACATCAATAAAAGAATCAAATTTTGGAGTAGTAGGAGTAAATACAAGTAACCCAAAAGCTGGTAAATACAATGGCTTTGAAACAATTTACTGGTATATTCAGAATGTGAAATATGTTGCATTTAGACCAGGGGTAGGCAACCTTGGCTCTTTTATGACTCGTGGACTTCAACTCCAGAATTCCTGAGCCAACATAGTTGGCTCAGGAATTCTGGGAGCTGAAATCCACGAGTCATAAAAGGGCCAAGGTTGCCTACCCCTGATTTAGACATATGGAAGAATTACATGAAATTAAAAGGCACTGTTTATTTTTCAGCAAATATATGTACTGGTTTATATATGTGCTCTGGTGAATGTACGCATGTATATGTGTGTGTATATACAGTGTAAACATCACATATGCACACACTCAATGCACACACAAAAATCATGTAATATGTGATATATGCATACACTATATATTTACATATATGCACATTAGAGACCACAAAATATGATCATATGCACTTTACTGTCATATGCAAGGTAAACTTTACAATAACAATTTATTACTGCACCTATAGAATTATACTATACTGTGCCCTTATTTTTTCTTTAGTATCAGAACCTGTTCAAACATGAAACCTAACTAAGTTTCATAGAATTCTAGAAAGAAAAGGATACATAATAAAGAAACAGGATAGAAATACACAGAAAATTACTAGGAAAATGTATTAAGAGAAAGGATGGCTAAAGGAAGTTTTTGTAAATTTAGAGCTGCCTATAGCATAAATGTATTACATAAAAATATATTTTAGAAGAATATAATGATTTTAAAAGAACTCCTTCTTTTAAATAGTTTTTTAAACAGAACATTATTAACTACCACAAATATTCCTAACTAGTTTATTTTTTCTTAACATAATTTTCCTCAAAAATTTCCAAAAGATTTTCCTAGTCAGAAATAACTGGGTATTTTTGAAAATTACAATTACCACATTTTTTTTTACTTACTATTGCCAATAGTCAACAATCACATATTGTTTTATAAAGACAAACCTATCAGATGGATCTATACAAAAATTTAGTCACTATAATTGTTTTTAAATACATAGTAACCTATATCATTGAATCTCTTGGAGAGATCATTGTCTTTCCAATGTTATCTTGAGAAAGCAAGCTGTATTAGAAAACGGATCACACACTGATCTTTGGGCACTGCTTTAAGTTTGGAAATTGAATCCACCTGCTTGAAAAAATTCTCATTCAGTATTTTCATTTTGCCAGAGCAAGTATGCTTTTAAATGGAGAATAGAAACAAAATTAAATATTATTTCATTTTCATTTCTCTTTAATTAAGTTGGAATGAATTAATACTTTTAATGATTAAGTCAGATAGTTAACACTAGCCTTCCAGTACATTAAATACTGTGCTTTGGTAGCAACCTCTGGAATATTCTGGGAACTCAATTCAAGGCTTTCAGAAACTGAACATGTCCCTGAGGCAGAAATAGTGTCCCTTTACCCTAGTTAATTCAACTATTATCTTAAGAAAATTGTAGGAAAATGCATCAAACAGGGGTACAATTCTATTTTAACCACTGCTAATCCATGTGATGGAAAGTCAGTTTTATGAACTAGAAAAGCAGTAGATAGAATTTTTCTTTCAAAATGTCAAATTCAGAAGGAATGAAATAAAAATAATGTTTACAATTTTAAGAAATGCCAAGGAAATATATGAAAAAGATATTTTTGACTGAGAGTATATGTCAATGAAGTGTTAGCTTACCAAGGAGAACAATAAGAGAGTCTCTCTCACACAAATATGGAAAAGTGTTTTCTCTTATGACATCATAAAAATACCGGTGTAATGTAATCTGTTGGTTTCCAAATATGTTACTTCCCAACTCTTCTTTGTTCTCCCCATCTCATCATCATACATTTCACAAGGATTTTACCTGTGATTCCATTGGTTTTTGCAATGATGGCTGAACCGTCTCAGAATTTCCATTTGAAAAGGACTCTGATCTTGAAGGCACTGGTGGATCTAACACTTTGCTTCCCTGTTTAGACTGGGCTTCTGGGGAGCTCTGATTATTCTTTCTATATCTGTCATCAACCTGGAAAAAAAAAAGGCATATATGGAATCAACTGATATAACGAAAAGATGATTTTTAGAAATTTAGAAACTACAAATATCATGTTTCTGGCCAACTCAACAGACTGCACTCACTACAAATAACACTAGTAATCTAGAATCCCAAGCTTTATGTAGCTCTCAGCTCAATATGACAGTATGCTCATCTCTACTATTACCCATTGCTCTTTGGGATTGGGATGGATTATACTGTAAATATAATAAAATAAATACATTTTCTTCCATATAATGGTCAGTGTCCAGCATCAATTCAACATGGTAGGATTAATGTTAATCTGCAGACAACACAAATTATCACATGACTTTTTTGAGAAAAATGTAATTATCCCAGCAGTAGCAATAGTTAGCTACCCTTATTTTGGACTTTGAAATTAAACAAGGTTGAAGCTTGTTAAAACTTGGGCCTTCCTTAAGCCTTAAGAGCAATCTTCAAATTCCTCTAGCAGTTGTTCTCAAAACTTTAATGTAGCAATAAAGTTGCACCCAAAACATGGTTTTACATCCATGAAACTATTTGGTAAACTATCACATTGTCATCAGTTTTATTATGAATTAATACAATATAAAATCTTTATTGAGGCCATTGGCCAGTACAGATTATGCCACAATACAATAATCACTAATGAATGGTGTGTAGAAGACCTGTTATTTCTGACCATAAAATATATAAAATAACATAAATGAGATGTTTCCCTCTCCATCTTAATAGGCTTTATTTAATCCAAATCTTACCAGTCACAACGGACCTGTCACTGCTAAAAGTTAAGCAAATCGATTTGTACATTGACTAGAGGTTTTTCTTCAGAAGTGACTGCAACACAGCATTTAAGCAATTAAGAAATTTCATGTGACTTTAGTGTAATATAGCTATTTTACCTATTGTTTTTAATGCTACAGTATATGAGAAGTGAAGAGATTTTATGGGCTAAATTGCTGGTCCCCAATGTATTTTTCCTGGGTAATCCTCAAACATAGAAATTGGTCACATGCTTGTGCTCTATAAAAGGAAATTATATACATTCTGTAAAAGTATATTTAAAAAAATGTTCTTTTCTTCCAAGACTGGTAATGGGACACACTCATCTTCCTCTCTCGACATTCTTATGGGAAGGTGGTCTTTATATACATTATGATAGATACTTTAAAAGCAGTACTGGTTCTAATAATTTCAGACAGAATTTACCTCCCGAGGCCTTTCTGTAGGCTCATAATGGGATTTAGGGTCAGGGGTATGATAGTTTTGTTTATTCCTTTCTTGCTGCTGGAGCTGCTGTTGTTGTTGCTGTTGTTGCTGCCTCCTGTGATCATGCTGAAGTGATAAAAGATATGCCTGTTCCTGTTGCAACTGACGTTGAAGCCTCTCGGCTTGTCGGTGTTCCTCCATCTCTCGCCATCTGTATTCCTTTGAGAGAACAGGTCAAAATATGAACAACATGCTGGCAGGCACTTGCTTATCTTCTGGTGATTATACATTTTGCTGCAGTTGCAGTGTAAGTAAATATACCAAACTTCAAATTTACATTCAAATAAAGTACAAGTTTCCCCCTAATTTATAAAGCATTTTACACTACTTACAGGCATAATATTATTTAAAATATTGTGATCGGCACAGTCATAAATCTATTTTGCCATAAAGGATAGAGTGGTTTTGTTGTGGTGGAGGAAATGGGAGGGCCAAAAAGAACACAGTACCCTGACTTTTATATCCAATATTTAATAAAATACACGGCCTGCACTCTTGTTCTTTTGAGAAAGGTTGTTCAGAAAGTCAATTCCAAACTGTAACTTCTTTAACTTAGGGGGGGGGGGGAACTTCACTGATTGGCTTGTCAGATTATCATACAGCATGGTTCACATAGGTCTGCCAGCCCAATACACTGTAGGATGATTAGCTCTTGTGCCAGGCTCTACTGTGCATAAAGTTCAGCTGTGTCCATTTAAAGACAATCTGGGACACCGTCAGAGAAAACAATCCCATACAGTAGCTACTAACAAAACAGATACAGTGCTTTACCAGTAACATGGCCTGCTCCTGGAGCAGCTGCTGCTGAAGAATTTCCAGGTGCCGCTGCTCCTCTTCTAGCTGTCGCCTGATATACTCCTGTCACATAGAAATTACCCAGCAATAAAATTGTTCACAACAGGAATGTATCCAAAGCACCTGAGTACAACACCACACAAAAGAAAAACAAAAATGCCACCTATCCCAATTCACCTTCAGGTGACAATTCAATAATAAATTTAATAATGGGACTCCCTAAAGAACAATTAAGTTAAACCCTATCAGCTAAAGTAAGGACAGAAAAAAATCCATTATAAACCCTCCCTCCAAAAAATTAACTGAAAAAAAGAAAAAAAAATGTGGAGTAGGAAAAATTAATGTTGCCTGTAGAATTTTGACTTAAAAACAAGCAAATGAATTTTTAAAAACAGGGTGGTAGTTAATACTAGCAAGTCTTATCAACACAGCCAACACAAAATCACATGCATTTTTAATAAAATAATTAGTTTTGCACCTGTGGTGAACCATGAGCAACAGCTAGAGCCAGGCTTAGTTAAGGCATCCTCTTTGCAAGCTTTCTATCAAAAAAATCTCTCAATTGGAACCTTAACCTCGGCTATAAATTGATCCTAGCCTCATCATCAACACAGACAATGCCAATCTGAAGTATGTGGTGGTTATGACAGAACATAAAAAACAGACATCCACTAGCGAAAGATATAACTCCAAATGCATTTTCAGTGACATTCCAGAAGTCTGGATTCCTAAGCCAAGTCAAAATATGCAGCAACATATCCAAAGCTAAGAACATCCTATCGTGCGAATTAATAAGGGAAAGTAAACACATGCACTCAAACACACATGAAAAAGACAATGAACACAAAAGAAATTAATAACGCAATGCAATGGCAAAATGAAACTGCTTGAAATCTTACGAAACAAAAAAAGGTGCATAGGAGCTAGTTATACAATCCTTGCATACCCAGAATTAAGTGGAGTTAAAATTTTGTAGCAATATGTTTTTTTTAACAAATCTATCAATGCCAGCAGTACAGGTAGTCCTTGACACTTGACCATAATTGGGATCAGAACTTCCACCATTAAGTGATGTGGTTAAATGAGGTGCACCTAAGTTTATGACTTTTACTATGGTCATTAAGCAAATACTGTAATCATTAGGTGAATCCAGGTTCCCCGATTGATTTTGCTCATAGACCAGGGAAGGCCATAAATGGCAATCATATGACTCTTGGTCGCTGCAACCATTGTAAGCACATGCCGACTGCTAATCACGTGATCGCAAGGATGCTGCAGTGTGACGACCAGTCATAGGTCACTGTTTTCAGTTGTGTCGTAACTTTGAACAGTTGTTAAACAAATGGGTTGTAAATCATGGACTATCTGTACATTTTGGAGAGTGTGTGTTAACAATACTTCTCTAGCTGCATGCAAACAATAATGGCAGATGGTTGATGCACTTCTTCAGCTAAATGAAAATATGATTTCCTAAGACCCAAATAAGTTACTCAGGGAGAACATTTTTTTTATCTGTTTTATACAAGTGACTGTTTCTGCATGTGTATTTCCCAAAATTAAGTTGGGACAAACTTTCCCCAATCTAGCCCCTCCAAATGCATTCTCACCCAGCAGTTCTGGGAATTGCAGTTCCAAACTTTCTGGAAGATACCACGTTCAGGGAAGCTAAACTACATGAATGACTGTTAAGTGCAGTATTTCATACAAGTCTAAAACGTTTCTATTATTACATGTTCTGCAAAATTCCATTATATATTACATGTTGTTTGACATCAAAGCCCAAATAAATTTTACAGCAGAATATAATAAATTTTAAATAGCATAGTGATGTTCTTAGTACTTACTATATTTCCTGAAAATTACTTTTTCCAATATGAATATCCTTACTTTCTGTCATATACACAAATTATATTTCAAACAGACAAGATTCATGTATGAGACTGAGAAACTAATGTAGTATTTTCAAGAACAAATACTGATAAGTTTTGAAAAATACATGCATGTAAACCATTGAACTAAGTCATTTGCTTCAGTATAAGCAGATAAAGTAAGTCTATTACTATACTTACATGTTGCGACTTTGTGGAAGAAACTTACTGCCCGGAATCAGGAATCCATCATAAAACATTAGTTCAGATTTTCCCATATTCCTAACCAGGTTCCCCAAACTAGTCTGCTCTTAATGTGTGGCTACACAGACAGGGAATGACTATACTAATACACAACAAAGACATCAGATCAATGGAAGATACTTTTTTAGACTGTATTCAATCATTTCCTTAGTGTTTCCTATACTAATAGGAAGGAAGGAAGGAAAACCATACATAATTGATTCATGCTGTTTCAAATTTACCTGCTCTCTCTCCACTCTTCTCTTCTCTTCCTCTGCTCTCCTCCTTTCTTCTTCTTCCTTCCGCCTTTTTTCCAGCTCCTCCAATCGTTTTTTTTCTTCCTGTTCTCTCCTCCTTTGTTCCCGTTCTTGCTGTCTTCTAACTTCACGCTCTCTTCTCTGTTGCTGCATTTCAAATAACAATGGATATAAGCAATCTCTTTCTTTTATCAACTTATGAAATCAGAATACAGAACCTATGAATTCTATTGCCATGAGTCATCATCCAGCATAATCAGTAGACTGGCAATCCAGCATCATTAAGAAGGGTAGCAATCAAATTTCATTTTTCATTGTATCAGGATTATCTGAGTAATTTTTAGAAATGCGCTTCTACAATTACAATTGCTAATATTTTAAAATGGTTGTCTACCATGTAGGAAAATGTGAATACTGTGATTGTATATAAGAAACCACCAAATATACAGAAGCTACTGAAATTGCTTCCATATAGACAGTGCATTGCTGTCATCAGAGACTTATTTCTAGCAATTTCATGAAGCAGCTAAACAAAGAATTTCTCCTAGGCATTTGGGCTAAGATGTGAGCAAGTTCCTCTAGTTAATTGATGACTTATATAATGTTTGTTTTTTTCAACCTTAGTTGTTTGGATTGCTGAATTTTATTCTATTTGGTTTTTAATTTTTGTACACCATCCAATCATCTAAGGCAGGGGTCCCCAACCCCCCAGTCTGTAGATCAGTACCGAGCCGCAGCATGCCAACAACCGGTCTGCACAAACAAGCAAAACCCCATCCACAGGATGCAGGCAGCACACAAAACCACACACCCTCCAGTTCGCAGAAAAATCTCTCTCCACGGAATCGGGCCCTAGTGCCCAAAAGGTTGGGGACCCCTGATCTAAGGCTATTTTAAAAGATAAAAGTAGTTCATTTTACTCTGAAAACTGCAGGGCTGAAAGGGACTTGAGATCAAAACCAGGAATAGTTACTGACAAGCCCTACTTCAGAGTCAGGAATGTCTGCAAGAATATAGACTGAAACAGAATAATTAGTTCCTTAAGGATATGTTTTGTGTTTGGGTGAATTAGTCTATGCTCCATGAATTAACTGGCAGGTGATCTACAGAGAGATCACTAGAAAACGGACATGGAGAGATGAAAGATCTTATACTAAAAAGAAACTGAAAATATAACTAAACAGAATCAGCAGCTAATCCTGCAACGAACTGCAATTATTTTATCCTAGTAGAAAACTTCTGAGGCAGCCAAAATCTTTATTCATAGAATTGTGGAATATAAGGATTTGAATAGACCTTGGTGAAACCTCTTAGCTCATTAATCCACAATTACAGCATTCCTGATAGATGTGATCCAGCCTAAGTAATTCCAGTGAAGGAGAGTCTACCATTTCACAGGATAATCTGTTCCACTGGTGAATAGTTCAAGAATAAAGAATTTTTTCCTCTGATTCCAACTAACATCTACTTTTTTTGTAGTTGAAATCCCAATTTATCTCCTGTCTTCTGGCACAATACTGGAAATTTCTCCACCTTTCTACATGATCCTCCTTCAAATCCTTTCACAATAATCATGTTTTCCTGCAGTCTTCTCTAATGATTCCTCATAAATTGTTCTTTTAAATCCCTTATCATCTTGGACATGGTCCAGTTTGACAATTCCCATTCTAAAAAGTAGGGATGAAGATAACAGATAGTGTTATATGTCTACTATAGTGCTTTTGCATGATGATTGTTGCTATTTGCAAATTGAATCACTGTCCCCTTGAAGTATCAATACTACTAGAAAGAGCAGAAACTAGGTCTACTATATTTGCCTATATAAAGACTGTAGTGGTGTTGTTCATCACTGTTCATGCTTGGTTGTAGTGAAGCAACATAGTCTTATTTTGATATGGTCACGGAAGTGTTTTGATTTGCTCTGTCAAACTAAAAGGCCGCCCAAGTTCAACTGAATGAAGCAATTCTGTGCTTCAGAATACTTCTGGCCAGTACAGAGATTTCTCTCAGATTATTTATGTAGCCCTAACCAATATAGTCTGGAAGATTTTTGTCTTGTGCTGAGAGTGGACCAGACTAGATACTCTTAGAGCACAATGACAATCCTAGAGCATTTGCTGAAACTAGATGGTGAGTACAATCTTAACAATTCACCCTGCCTTACTATTGGAATAGCTGATTGTTGCAGCAGATTAAAGGGTGTCCTCCTTAGGATGCTTGTGACTGGTAAGAGAGGAAGCATTTCTGAAAAGTAAGACCTGTTATGCTGTAGAGTTTCTAAACATTTTTATCTCACACCTTTCCATTTTCAGTTTCTACATTCATTTCATGGCACCACCTTTGTATAATGAAGAAAGCCTTCATCATTAAAAGGGAGATCCTCTGCTAAAAGATGTGGTACCTGGGATGGAACCAAGGAATGGGACCAAGCATAAAACTGAATATACTCCTGCAAGAAATTTTGTAATACTATTTGTTGGCTTGACAAAGCTGAACTTTCTGTAAGAAAAAGAACACTAACATTTGCTTGTCTTAAGGAAATAAATGAGCAGAAGTGCCATTTCACCAGGGAAAATGATGGTATGTGCTATGCAGTCTTGCTATGCTTCATTATATACCCTTCATCCCAGTATATTCTCAGTCTTTTTTGTCAAAGACCAGCATACTCAGAACTGCCCTTATGTAGCATCTGTCAATATAGCCTAGCAAGATTACTGAAAAATGAAACACTATTTGTCATCCTACAGACAAGAGAGGAAAGGCAACTCTAACCCTGGCTTAAAAACTAGCTAATTAAAATATCAGATCTTATTTCAGTAGTTGGAATTGTTTGAAGTCTACATCTAAATCATTAGCTGAATAATAGTTGTTAAATATAAGGCCTTTCTTCAGTTGGAGAAAAAGGTAGATTTAGAATGATAAATCTAAGTAAGAGAGAAAAGTATAACCTGAAATAAAACAAGCCATAGTGCTTATTCTGTTGCTGCTTCTGAGCCACACAATGTAGAAAGCACCAATATCAACAGATCAAAATTTACCTGAGGGCATGAAACAAGGGAAATATATGGGTAGTAGCATGAGCCGATGTTACAAAGTGGATTTTTCTCAAATATTGAGGTACCTGTTGCCACCATGAAAAATCTTAGGTAGTTGATGCAACAGTAAACATTTCATAAGAAAGAGCCAAGGTGGCGCAGCAGTTAGAGTGCAGTACTGCAGGCCACTTTAGCTGATTGTGTTCAGCAGGTCAGCGGTTCAAATCTCACCGGCTCAAGGTTGACTCAGCCTTCCATCCTTCCGGGGTAGGTAAAATGAGGACCCAGATTGTTGGGGGCAATGTAAATATATATATATACATTGCTTACTGGTGTACACCGCTTAGAGAGTGCTTGCACTTAAAGCGGTATGTAAGTCTCATAAATAAATAAATAAATCTCAGTGGTATTAAATGGATCTCCAAGATTGATGACCTGGGCAACCATAATTCTGATAGTTGGGGGTGAACTAATCCTGATAATTTACAATAGCACTAGAACTTCTGTCTGTATGAGTTCACTGACATCAAAAAAGCAATGTAGAAGCCTTTGTCCCAAGATGGAAAGGATGGTACTTGAGCATCACAATCACTGCTTAAGTAGCTTGATAAGAGAAATAGAAGGATATGAAATCCAGTGACTTTGCCTGAGGATTGTGCCTATATTGAGCACATTATTAGAATTATAAAACTACCCAATATAGTTACTTCTTAGTTATAAGATGGCACTTCATGGATGTTTTTTCCTTTGAAAGAAAATCTGATATACCTTTACTAAACTGCTTTATGAAGTTAAAGAGCAGTAGCTCTGTATTGCCAATTAAGGGAAGATGACAATGGAATTATCAACTTTGAATAGATTTAGAAAACTCCCAAAGTTGCTCTAGATGATTATGGATTTATATAATCTTTTTATACAATGATATCCGTAAGCAACATTCTCTTGCATTTAGAAAGGAAAGACAGTGATCAGCCCCAACTTGGTGGCTTTTCTGGCATGGCCAACAAATCGACATGCTGAGGAATGAGACCTGAGAGGGTATCATATGTACAAGTGTTAATTCTGTGGCTCTGCCCAAGCACATGAAACAACAGTCAAGATGAGTGCACAAAAGAGCAACAAAGATGATTAAGAGTGCTGGAGGCTAAAACAAATGAAGAACGGTTGAGCCGAGGTGGCGCAGCAGTTAGAGTGCAGTACTGCAGGCCACTTTAGCTGACTGTGTTCAGCAGGTCAGTGGTTCAAATGTCACCGGCTCAAGGTTGACTCAGCCTTCCATCCTTCCGAGGTAGGTAAAATGAGGACCCAGATTGTTGGGGGCAATGTAAATATATATACACATTGCTTACTGGTGTACACCGCTTAGAGAGTGCTTGCACTTAAAGCGGTATATAAGTCTCATAAAATAAATAAATAAATAAATAAATAAATAAATAAATAAATAAATAAACGGTTGCAGGGATTGAGTATGTCTAGTGTAGTGAAAAGAAGGACTGGAGGGACAAGATAGCACTGTTCCAATATTTGACGGGCTGCGACAAAAAAGAGTGGGTCAACCTATTTTCCAAAGCACTAGAAGGCAAGCCAAGAAACAATGGATGGAAACTAATCAACGAGAGAAACAAACTAGAAGTAAAGAGAATTTTTCTAACACTGAGAACAATTAATCACTAGAATGACTTGCCTTCAGAAGTTCTGGGTGCTCCATCACTGGAGGCTTTTAAGAAGAGACTGGATAGCACTTGCCTGGAGTGGTATAGGGTCTCCTGCTTGAGCAGAGAGTCGGACTAGAAGATCTCCAAGGTCCCTTCCAACTCTGTTATTCTATTAAATCCTTCTGTTAAATGAGCACACCCAAACACTAAACGAAGAGATGTTGCTCTTTCTCAGGAAAATAAATAAACATTTTCCAGAGATTTTTGTTACCACACACTCACTGATATGCCAGCACTATAATTCATTGGACCAACTTTGAAACAGAGTTATGAGGTGCTCCATTTGGGACTGGAAGTTGCTGCAACAGGAATAACTGTGCAAGCCATGTAATCTCCAAAGCTCATGCAGTTTTTCTACCTTCAAGAATCAGATACATAACACTTAAAATTGAAAGGAAAATTACTGAAGAGCTTGAGTAAAAGAAAACATACAAATTCTCTGAAAATATAATCCTTTTCATTAACAGTCTTTTTTAAAAAACAAACAAACAAACAAACAAACCCTGTTTTTAATGAAATTGATCCAAAGGTTCTACTATCAGTTACTGCTTCATAAATCCAGGTTTACATACTGACCAGTATCCAATTTACAGTGGTTTTTATAAAAACTTAATTAACCCCAATCCTATTATATAAGCTCCCTGTACTTAATTCTAAAAGATTCTCTTTATTAAATGACCAATATTGGTCTATCTACCCAGCCATCAATTCATTTATCTACCTACCAATAAACACATACAACTTCTATCTATAAAACACCATTAACATTCACTTTGGTTAACAATCTCAAACTTGACAATCTTTTGCATTTCTTCAAATTTATCTTAACAATTTAAATATTTCTGTATAGCTTTATTAATGGCCTTTTTCAAATGTAACATTTTCCTTCAGCAGAAATATCCTCCACTTAGTAAGCATTATGATTACTAGGAAATGATCCTTCTTTTAAAAAGAGATATCAAGCTTGTGAAATTTGCATTTAATTTGATGAAAGCTTCTATCCTCTAAAACTGAATTAATGATTCATACAATAATTTTTCAAAAGGTCTTTTTAACAGTAATAATTGTATTCTCCCAATCCCATAGAGATAGATTTGATTGCACTGCGAATGGAAGTATGTGTTCAATTCTACTGTCTATTTCCTAAGGAGACCCAGGATTCAAAAGAAATGCCTATAATTTTTTGTCCCCTTCTTCTATTGCCCTCTGTCTTTCCCAGCATTAGGCTCTTCTCCAGTGAGTCCTTCCTTCTCATTAGGTGGCCAAAGTACTTGAGTTTCAACTTCAGGATCTGGCCTTCTGAAGAGCAGTCAGGGTTGATCTCCTCTAGGACTGACCGGTTTGATCGCCTTGCAGTCCAGGGGACTCGTAGAAGTCTTCTCCAGCACCATAATTCAAAGGCCTCAATTCTTTGGTGCTCAGCCTTTCTTATGGTCCAACTTTCACAGTCATACATTGCAACTAGGAAAACCATGGCCTTGACTATATGTACTTTTGTTGGCAGGGTGATGTCTCTGGTTTTTAGTATGCTGTCTAGATTTGCCATAGCTTTAGGAGCATATTATAACAGTTTCATGTAGGTATCTGTATATGTTTTATTATCCTAAAGGACTCAAAATATATAACACTGATATTTGAATACTTCCTAAAAAGTGCCAAGAACACTGTTTTCTCCATCTATTTTTGGTGTAACTATTTAATAAACTGTATCAAATTAAATTGGGATATGGAAGACTAAAGGGGAACCCATATTTAAAAGCTTTGTTATTAGATTCTGACAAAGTATTTAATACATAAAAATCTGCTATACAACATACAACATCAAATGGAAAATCCCATGCAAATACTCTTGAATCATAAAGGTAACTAGAGACCCATTGAAAAAGTACTATAATGGATTTTTCATTAAAAAAATTGTTTATGATTCCATTGTACAGTGTTTTCCAAAACTTGGTTTAGCAATACAAAAGGCTATTTAAGGAAGAGGCCTTGATTTTTTTTTTCAGTTTCCTATTCATGACCTTTTTCTTCAAGCAATTTAACCCTAGATCAGAGGTCTCCAACCTTTTGGGCACCAGGGACCGGTTCTGTGCATGGTTTTGTGTGCTGCTTGCATCCCACAGATGGGGCTTTGCTTGTTTGTGCCGACCAGTTGCTGGCATGCCACAGCCTAGTACTGGTCCACAGACCGGGGATTGGGGACCCCTGCTCTAGATGGTACATCATTTTTAATATTACTGATATAATTGTTGCTCAGAAAATCAATTCAGGGAAAGGAGTTTGCTGATAGAAAAGGAATAATTAAACACCCATGTAATCTGGTCCTGTTTGTAGAGTCTGAGCTTAGTTTGGATAATAAAGAAATAACTGTATTCTAATTAAGAAAGTGATGTGTAATACACAAAATTTCAGCAGTAGAATATTCTATTTCTCTGCTGTAAGGCATTGATTAAACTATCCCAAGCTTAGTTTATAGTTTTGGCAATTAACCATGAAAAACTCTTCTTCTTCTGAATGATCTGTTTTAGGTTAGGTAACCCTAACCCTAACCCTAATCTGTAAACATTTTCAATAAAGAATCTTTCTTAGTCAACCTAATACTGGGGCTAAACAAAAGTTGGGCTCACAGATTGCAACATCATCTTATAATTGTTTATAATATAGTGTCAAGATTTTCTAACACAGTGGCATGTCAAATTTTTAAAGGATATATGTACCTCTTCTACCCAGAAGGCCTTATGACAGTGGTTCTCAACCTGTGGTCCACAGACCACTGGGTGCCACGATGTCATCACAGGGGGTCTGCAAAGGCTTGAAAAATGTTATGATTTAAATCTTGAATTAAGTCTTAGTAGTCCGAGGCCACAAAAGGTATTTAAAGGGGCTCCAGAGTGAAGAAAAGGTTGAGAACCAATGGCTTATGATATTCATTGTTTCAAAATGCACACAGAATCTTAAGACTGAAGGCTGACCATGAAATCAATATATTACAGATACCATTGGAATTATGTACACACTAAAGAAAGCATTCTATTTATGGATTATGTTCTTCTATTGTGGATAACAGCAAGAAGAATAAGATGTAGTCTGTGACATTAAAATCCAGATATGCTGGTAGGCAAATCTAGACATATTTTATAGCAGTATACATACATCTATAAAGCACCATTGTATGTGGATGCAAGCATGCATTTGTGTTTTATTTTAATAAACCCTGCAGTCACTAAAATTATGATTTAAATAGTATGTATATTTTTCTACTTATACTTGGTGCTGAAAGGCCAGGAAGGGATCCTTCTTAAAATAAACCTGGATTTATTTAGACTGAGACTGTAATACTTCAAATGGACCAAAATAATATCAGACCTTTAATCTCCACAGTCAGTTTAAAAATAAGGGCATATTCAAATGTTTTAAGTACTCTGATTAAAAATGCTAAAATAAAATCAGCAGCATTTATTAATTAATCAAATTTATATTTGAATTTGTTCCTGTAGTATTTAGCTCAGTAACAACTGGATAGCAACATTAGCAAATGAGGAATCTGCAGGAAAAGCAAACTGTTTGTTTGTTTTCAGCCTATTTATGCAAGACCACAAAGACAAGAATGAAAATACAAGTTTTTTTTTAAATGAATAATCCAGCCGCTATGCTATATAGGGATTTTTTAAACCTGTGATTATTGTTATTACATGACTAATTTTATTAGCTCATGTAGTACTCTATCTACAGCATATATGACATCAGAAAATCATCAAACCATTTTTTCACTCCTATCCTACCCATACCTTCATACCTAAATTCAATTCTGCAGGAGGGATTCAGTATTAAAAAAACAAACAAATCCTCATGGGAATTTAGGTTTCTAATACCAAATACTATTGTTCCACTGAAGAATTCTGGCAGTGAGTGATAAATTCTGATGTCTTCATGTAGTCATTTAATAGATTCTAAATTCAACCCTTTGGCTCTTTAACAAAAGGCAATTTAAAAAGTGTGCCTTTTCAACCTTGACCCATTTCTACCTCTTCTAGTCTCCTCCTCTGCTCTTTCTGCTGTTCAATGCGCTTTTGTCTTTCTGCCAGCAGCTGCCGCTTGTATTCCTCCTGCTCACGGAGCTGCTGTTCCTGTAGCAGCTGTTGCCTCCGAAGAGCCTCAGAACGCTCCTTGTTTTCCTGCTGCAATCTCAGGAAGTCACGTCTGAGGGTAGATTCTCCAGGCACATTAACAATAGAACTGCATGAGAAAAAAAAGGGCTAAGTCTAAGCAAGTGACTAAACAAAAGTTGGAAACTTCTTTATTTTTACATCTTCGTGTTTTCCTTACAAACACCAGAAATACAGTTGTGCTATTGGAAGCATGGCAGAGAAATAGCAGAGAGTCAGATCAGCAGAAAACAAAATCTCCTCATTTTTGTTTAGAAATTTGGATACTTTTTCAAAACTTATAAAAGGATTACAAAACAAATGCCTGAATTTTAGTATTTAAAAGGTACAGGTAGTCCTCAACTTACAACCACAAATGAACCCAAAATTTCTACTGCTGAGTAACACAATTAATAGCAATAGCAACAGCACTTAGACTCATATACCACTTCACAGTGCTTTACAGCCCTCTGTGAGTGGTTTTACAGAGTCAGCCTATTGCCCCCAACAATCTGAGTCCTCATTTTACTGACCTTGGAAGGATGGAAGGCTGAGTCAACCTTGAACTGATGAGAATCGAACTGCTGGTGGCCAGCAGTCAGCAGAAGAAGCTTGCAGTACTGCATTCTAATTATTGCACCACCATGGTTAAGTGAGTTTTGCCTCATTTTATGATCTTTCTTGCCAGTTGTTAAGTGAATTGCTGCAGTTATTAAATTAGTAACATTGTCGTTAAATTAATCTGGCCTCCATTGACTTTGCTTGTCAGGTGATCACAAAAAGTGATCACATGGCCCTGGGACATTGCAACCGTCATAAATATGAACCAGTTCCCAAGAGTCTGAATTTTGATCACATGGCAGTAGTCAAAAATGTGAAAAATGGTCATAAGTCATTTTCAGTGCCATTGTAACTTTGAACACACTAAATGAACTGTTGTAAGTCAAGGACTACCTCTATTGATTATGTAGTATCAGACAATTCTGTGTTTTGAGTAACTTATAGTGTGCCTCAAGGTAAGTTCTCAAGACGTATACAAAGTCTGAGCAGTCAACATCTTCCTGCTGAGCAATCAAATATTTATTTTACTTCTTTATACTTGAACAATAACAAATATTTTACATACATGTAATCTGTGAGCTATGATTGTAACTGAGCCTAGAATTACAGTCATAATTGTGTGGTCATTAAGTCAAAGCATCAAAGTAATTTTCCAGCCCTTTTTGCAGCAGTTGTTAAGCAAACCTGGCAATCATTAAGCAAACCCATTCATTTGAGCATTTGAATGAACCAGCAAAAAACATCCTAACACAACACACTACCAGTCATAATGCCGACCTATGTGATATCACATGAGAGGGACCAATTACAATGGCTACAAAACACCTGATCTGTGGGCACTGTGACTTTGACGAGTCATAAAATGACCAATTGTTAAGCAATGGCTATTTCTATTTTTATAGAGAAGATTGCATTATAGATATTGAAGAACGTAAATAGTATTATTGTATACTGCCGCTCTATATTCTACTTAAAAAAAACATGGTTCTATTTTCTATTATTAAAAGGCTACAACAAAGCTAATGACTTCACAACTACATAGTGATTTATGCCACATAAATCACTCACTGTGCTCTAGCCCTAAAACAGATTCTACAAATACCTCCAGATACTTCAGAATATTGGCTAAGATTATGAGTTAAGGTATAAGATATCTGAATACCAGATTGTCAAAGGCTCCTTGAGATATTTACCTATTTATTTATTTATTTATTTATCAAATTTAGATACCACCCATCTCATTCACAGAGATAGTTATAACATGGTTCCTAGTCCAATACCAAGATTACATTACCTTGGTTCTCCTTCTTGTTCAGGCACTTCTTCCTCCTCCTCTTCACTTCCACTATATTCATATTCTGTTTCATCTGACAGAAATTGGAGATAAACAGTCATGGCAACAAGCTAAAGCAAATTCCATGAAAAATAATTTTGATCACAAATAAGTCTTAAAAGCTTTCAGGAATAATATGTTTAAAAGCTGTAGAATTCATATGAAAAAGTTCTTTGGTATGATTTCTTTCTGAACTTTAAAGAAAAGGTCCAGAAACTCACAGCGTTATTTAGGCAACTAGTATTAAACTTGAAATTTAAGAAGATTTCACTGTTCTATATCACTACATGATAGTGCTATTTCTCAGGCTCACTCATATAGTTCAGGGGTAGGTAACCTTGGCTCTTTTATGACTCGTGGATTTCAACTCCCAGAATTCCTGAGCCAGACATGCTGGGAGTTGAAGTCCACAAGTTATAAAAGAGCCAAGGTTGCCTACCCCTGGTATAGTTCGTACAGCATAGTCTACATCAAGGGAATAGTCTGCATACTTGCCCTTATTAAAATTATTATTTAAATTTTATACTTGCCCTTATTTAAATGATACAGCAAGAAAGACAACTCTTTTGGTCACATGATACAGGCGATTGAAAACTAGGATCTTCATATGCAAAGTGTTAGTACCCATCAGTTTTTTACCCCCTATATAAACAGCAAACCTCCACGGCAAATAGTTTTCACAATTCCTTTTCTGTTTCCAAAATAGGTTGCCACAGTGCTAGAAGTGAAGCTGGGTGGAAAAACCACTTATCAGAAATAATTATCTATACACTGTATACAGTTTCACACATACAGTTTATCTTTGATGGTGTATAGTTAATCTACTATATAGTACCCATTGTACAGTTTGATAAGTTCACACTGCAGAAAAATTCTTTTGAATTTGCACATTCTGGCTTAACTTTTACTTTTTTCTTTCTGATTTCCTTTCTGTCTCTCTTTTGTTCCAATGTATGTTGTAAAAGAAGTACTAACTTTATTGTTTAAATAATTAGTATATAATTAACATAAGACTTATATTCTATGTATACAGAAATGTGGTTCTACTTTCAAAAATAAAACATACCTTTCTCTCCTCTCTTCTTCCTGGTTCTGTCTATATGATCTTTAAGCTGGATTCTAACTTGTCGTTCATTTGGTTGATCACGTATAAAGGGATGTTTTAACAACTGCTCGGTAGAAGGTCGCTGCATATAATTTTTTACTAAACAGCCTTCTATAAAACTAAAAAACTTCTTTGACCTGAGCAAAAATAAATCACACACACACACACACACATATATATATATATATATATATATATCAGTTATTTGGGAAAGTATGGATTTTTCAGTTAAGAATCCTTTATGTGCTAAAACTATATTTAAATGTAACATTTACAAAGTTTAGAATAACCAGCACTACAGTCCACATGCTGGGACTCAGATAACTTGCTTATAATCTACAAAGAAATGTGAATGTAACATGTCAAGAGAGGGTAATCTTAATTATGTTGAAAACCACTTCTTTTGACAAATCTTTGGAGATATTTCTCTCACATTACTGAAAAAAAAATATTTGTGGAAAAACAGGCAGCTTAGCAAAATTGGACCTCCGTCAAGTCTGGGTCAATCTAAAAAGAACCTGTGATATTATTACAGAGTGAATTAATTTTGTGAGTAAAATAGTCATGTATGTGTATGTATATGTGTATGTGTGTGTGTGTCCACATGGCAACTAGACTAAACTTAAAAATTACACAGGCTAAATGTCAGAATGTGTTCAAGCAATATATATGCACCAAATGAATTTATGTTCCAAATATTGGAAAACTCAGCTCTCTGTCAGAAGGAATATTGTATTAGTCCAACTATACTGTTTATATTGTGTCTGTATTTTATTGTATAAATTATTTTACTTTACAACTCATTCTAGGTAAGTAGTTCTCAATTGAGCCCAAAATTTCTGCTACTAAGTGAAACAGTTGTTAAGAGTATTTTGCCCCATTTTGTGACCTTCCTTGCTACAGTTGTTAAGTGACTGCAGCTCTTAAGTTACTAACATGGTTCTTAAGTGAATCTGGTTTCCCCACTGATTTTGCTTGTAAAAAGTGGATCACATGACCCTGGGACTCATAAATAGGAGTCAGTTGTCAAAGTCTGAATTTTGATCACATGACTATGGGGATGCTGTAATGGTCATGTGAAAAATGGCCATAAGTCACTTTTCTTTAGTGCCGTTGCAACTTTGAATGATCACTAAATGAACTGTTATAAGTTGAGGACTATCAGTACATGTATATAAAGTCATTACTATATGATGGTTATTTCAAATAGTGTTTGTTTACTAATGAACTAGTGTTTGCTTGGGTTAAAGAGCAGCACAATAGTTAAGTACAATTTCTTTGAAAGGATTACCATTTTCTGCATTAAGCTAGAGTGCTTGCGTAGAATATTACCAGCCTTTCAACTCTGCTTAAATTGATTAAACATGCTACTCATACAGTAGTCTTAAAGAAAAAGATGCATCTAAATTTGACATCTGAGTAATTTATAGTGAACTTGGTTTTCATTTCAGTCTTCAAATTAATTCATACTATTTTTAATATAAGATTTAAAAATGAGCAAACACTACTTGTTGTCAAGGTTAAGTTTCATCAACAATTCTGGGTTTAATTTCCCAGTGAGAATTTCATTTTAATTATGATAGTGAAAGCCTCACACATTTTAACAAAGCAATATTCAAGCTAAAAATCAGTGACATTGTTTTCTGTTTACCAGATTTTAGATTAAAAATTAACAAAATTTCTATTAAGATATTATAATGAATAAACTATCTGTTAGCATGGCACTATTTAATAATAATTTTGTTTTGCTCATTATAAATGAAAGTTACTGCAGTATACTTTGCACCAACCATTCTTTCTTTCTCCATCTAATATAACTTGCTCTGTTGTGTGATTCTGGAAGAATGCAAAAGACAAGTATCTGTTGTCTGTCTGTCTCTGTGTGTGTTTTGTGTGTTTGAGTGAGTGGCTGAAAATGTCTATCTGCATTTCCATTTAGGAATATATATGCTCAGATTCAGTATACAATTAAGATTTTCACTGTATGAAAACAAGCAAAAGCAATTAATGATTGGTTTAATGGAAATGGGCAGGATTTTGTGATGTTGGATACTATGCTGGCTTTACAAGTTAATAAGACTTGGATTCTAAAAATGAATAATATGGGCTATAAAATGAACTTGTCTGTTTTGGATCCACAGACCATGTAATCCCACATGCATTTTAATAGTAGCCAGATAAGCTGTCTTTTGTGAGCAAAGACAACCTTATCTTGTTATCCTTCTCAACCCAAGGAATTGATGCATTGTGGCCTTGAATACTAAAGTTCTAATGAGGTAGCATGGTCACTATTAATTACATATCTATTCCTGTGAATTGGTTAATGTCCTTTACAAGCATTCTAAGTCATGAGCACATTTTCAGTAATGTACAATGATTTGCAAGAAAAATGAACATTTAAATACAGAATATTAAAAAAAAAAGCTTTCCTAGGTGCCTTTTTCTTTAAAGGATCACTTTCTCTCTGGGCATGGTAATTTCAGCATGCAAATCAAGTACTATATATTTTAATGCAAGCCAGACAATATGCCACATTCTTATACACATGTACCATGTTTCTTATTGGGCACAAGCAAATTTGGGGGGATCCAGAACACTAAGTGGAATTGATATTTAATAACAGAAGCAACATATTAATAAAATATTAATCCCAAAGGAATAGAAATGACTTGTGGACTGGTAATAACTTCAACAATTAAACACAAACAATTCTAGACACAAAGCTGCTCTGCTTTAAATGAGATACAGGTAATCCCCGAGTTACGAGCGTTCACTTAACGCTCGTTCAAAGTTACATGATGAGCGCCCCTAGTGCTTATGAGCAAGTCCCGAAGTTACGAATATTGCAGCATCACGGCAGTCATTCGCCCTTACGAGCGACTGCAGTGGCTCTGCAACATTCACCCTGATTTTTCCCTCCCTTCCCACCCTTGCCCGGGTTTCCCTATGCACCAGGCCTTCAATACTCACCCTGCGAAGATAGAGATCCTTGGGTTTCTTAGCTGCTCCAGGCCTTCAGTGCGTTCGCAGAGAATGGAAGCCTAAAGTGCTCAGATTCAGTAGCATACAACTCTTATTTTTATATTCCTGTAAATTACTTTTTGTAAAGGTAAAGGTTTCCCCTTTCCAGTTATGTCTGACACTATGAGGCGGTGCTCATCTCTGTTTCTTAGCTGAAGGAATGTTGTCTGAGGACATTTCTATGGTCATGTGGCCAGCATGACTATATGCCAAGGTGCATGGAACATTGTTGCCTTCTCAATGAAATGGTACCTATTTATCTACTCGCATTTGCATGCTTTCAAACTGCTAATTGGGCAGGAGCTCAGGCAAGTAAAGGGAGCTAGCCCTGTCACATGGTGCTCAGGTCTTGAATCTGGGCTGTCAGCTTTCTAGCTGACAAGTTCAGCGTCTTTAACCGCTGAGCCATTGTGTCCCCTTAAATTATTTTTTAGATCAATGTAAAGAAAGCTCTGTCTTGTGAATGAAACTGCTATGGCAAAATCAGACAAAAAGCAACCACATCAACTAACCCTACATACCATTTCTTGGACTTTAGCCGTGGAGGTGGATTTCTGGGAATAAGAAACAGGGCTCTCATTGGATGCATATCACAAAGGGCTAAAAAAGAAATAAAAAAGTTGCATGGTTGATTTTTCAGCTCTATCATATTATTATATCTACATATATTTAACATTGTAAACTAAGCAGTGATGGGATTACGACAAGAACAAAAGATTATAGCTATAAAATTACCTCTTCACATAGCCCCTGGAAATTAAAGACCAAACACTCATTTCCTTTGCAAAACAGTATATAAGGGATTTGTCATGTGCAATAAGCTCTGTGACATTCTATAAGCACTAAACATTAAGTCTGTTAATAACATAAACAGGGATCTAATAGCACCTTTTTTGAAAACAAATTTTATTCAAAGCCATAAGCTGCTATCATCAGATGAACAGGATCATCAAACAATGTTGATCATTAATCAGAGTTGAACTGACATTTATAAAACATTTCAGGCAATCTCACAAGGTCTCAACTGCCCACTCTGTTTTTTTAAACACAATTGTTAATTGATAACTATAACCTCTCCCACATGAAATATACATCTGTATAACTAACCTATCCTCCCATTCCCCCCCCCCCTCATCCCTTACCCATTTTAAAGTCTACATCAGTCCAGACATTCCATGCATTTGATTGGACTGAAGTGAAAGTTCATGTTTTTAAATAAAATGTGTTACTTGGAAAAGGTGCTACCAGATTCCCCATCTTTTGCCCCCACAGACCAGCACAGCTCTCTTCTTATAATGAGGTAATAGTCTTAGAATCTGCATCAGAATCAAATACCTCATCAGAAAGTTTATATGGACTCAATATCAATTCAATAATTCTGTACTGCAGGGTTTGTTCTATTGTTTGATTTCTATTGGCTTAGCACAATCACTGCAAAACGAGGCTTTAACACAGCTGCCTAATAATTTCTATTTATGGTACTTAATATTACAACAACAACAATAACAACAACTTTATTGTCACTTTGAATGTACACCAATTGGCATACATAAAAATGAAATGTCGTTGCATACAGCTATCAAAGGGCCACCAGTTCATGGCCAGCTCAAGTTTCAGAATGACCATTTTAGTCCATTTTCTGCCTTAGAGTGGGAAGATCATTGTGTTTCCAAATATTCCAAGGGTACATTTAGATTTACAAAGAGTAAATGAAATAGGTTGCATTTCTGAAATCATACAAATAAACAATATATATGTATCACTTACGGGGAGCGCCTTCTGCCATCTCAATGGCTGTAATGCCGCATGACCAAAGGTCACTCTACAGAGGAAGACTATATGTTAGCAAACACATTATCCACTTTTCTCTCAGTCAATTATAGCTCATACATTATAAAGGAAAGATCAGAATTACAAAAACAAAACAAAACCCAATCCCACTGCTTTTAAATAGTTTCATTTTTTTACAATTTGACTGCAGAAATAAATAACATGTGTTATTTACCTATTTAATATAAAAAATAAAGTAATTTATGAAGGACAATGTCTAGTATCTTTGCAGATGAAGCCTCTTCCACTTCAAAGTTTATATTTCATTTTTTTGCAAATAATGCAGATATTTATATTCACATGTTTTAATAATAATAATAATAGTAGTAGTAGTAGTAGTAGTAATAATAATGATGATGATGATGATGATGATGATGTTGGAAGGGACCTTGGAAGTCATCGAGTCCAACCCCCTGCTCAGGCAGGAACCCTACACCATTTCAGACAAATGGCTGTCCAATCTCTTCTTAAAAACTTCCAGTATTGGAGCATTCACCACTTCTGGAGGCAGGTTGTTCCATTGGTTAACTGTTCTAACTGTCAGGAAGTTTCTCCTTAGTTCTAAGTTGCTTCTCTCCTTGATCAGTTTCCATCCGCTGCTTCTCGTCCTGCCCTCAGGCGCTTTGGAGAATAGCTTGACTCCCTCTTCTCTGTGGCAGCCCCTGAGATATTGGAACACTGCTATCATGTTCCCCCTTGTCCTTCTCTTCGTTAAACTAGACATACCCAATTCCAGCAATTGTTCCTTATATGTTTTAGCCTCCAGTCCCCTAATCATCCTGTGTGTCTGGAGGGGAAAATAACCCTTTTCTATCTGTGGATGCAACATTTCTGTAAATTCTGTATCTTTCGATTATATTTTTTTTAGCAGATGTTTTTCTGACATTCTGGATATGCAATTACTTAGAAATCTAAACCAAATTGTTGGGCGTTGCATCAACAGGAAAGCAAAGATTGTATAAAATTAAACTACTAGGACATTAAGTGTACTGTAGAACACTCAAGAACACTACTATAAAAATAGTAAATCTCATAAATCTTTGCCAATATATTGCTTGTTTCAAACTAAATGTAAAAATAAATTTAAGAGTACAAGATTAAAAAATGTGGGTATGTTACTGCTCAGTAGCCTACTAGGTTTTTAACTAACAACTCCTAAAACATGAATTCTATTTTAAAAAAATTGAAGATGTTTATCAGATCTGAAACAATGCAAACTCTCTTAGCCCCAATGCAAACATAGCCAATAATAGAACACATTTTGAAAGGCAATATAGTTACTTAATAGTAAGGAGCAAACATTGAGAAGGAAGGAAGGAAGGAAGGAAGGAAGGAAGGAAGGAAGGAAGGAAGGAAGGAAGGAAGGAAGGAAGGAAGGAAGGAAGGAAGGAAGGAAGGAAGGAAGGAAGGAAGGAAAATATTTTTCTTTACTTTAGTACTAACATGGAAATTTATAATAGGCTGTACTCAGCTTTCCTCAAACTAGTGTCACTGAAATATCCTGGACTGTAATTCCTATTATGTCTGACCAGTATAACTAAATTAAGGAAAATTGATAACCTTCAATCAGAGTGACCACATTTAATTTCTATCTGTCTTATTCTTATTGGCATTTCAGGACTGGAAAAAAAATAAAGGAACTATTTGTCAATATAAAGAACAGCTGGAAACAACTGTGTCTCAAAGTATGGGTTTTTTAATGAAATCTACCAGGTATCGCAATAAAATATCCCATTTTGCATTTTTACTAATGAAGTCAATTTTATATCACTGACTTCCATATTTTATCCATGCTGCAGGACAGACCATTCAGTTATAAACAGTTAATATCATCTCCAGTATTATTAATCTCCTGTCCCTCTTATTCCACATCCATACACAGTCCAAAACCCAACTAGTTAGGACCAGTGGTTAAAAATACTGAACTAAAAATGGGAAGATTGTGAGTTCTCATTCTGCCCTAGACATGGAAACCAGTTACTTCTTTTTGGCCAGTTGCTTTTTTTAGCCCTGGAACAAGGCAAGAGCAAACCACTTTTGAAAAATGTGTAAATTTGCTATGTAGTCACCAGGAATCAAGCTGATTCAAAGGCCCACACATAAACCAAGTAGGAGTTTAGGCTCCCTGCTGTTTGAAAGGCTGCAGGAACATGAATATGGTGGGACGATGACACCTACAAAGGAGCATCGACCTTTTGTCTCAAAATGATTTGAGGGGAGGCATCAAGTAATCACCTGATTGACGGCCCTTGAGTCCAAAAATATAACCTTTTTTGTTTCCTACAACAGAAGCGCTAAAAATGGGCAACATTTGATATCTAAAACAGTAAGCTTTGACATTGCAAGAGTAATTTCATACACAGAACTATTTATATATTTGAGATTATCAGGTGCGATCTAAGATTTTTTCCCCAGGTTATGTTGGGTTATCTTGCTCCCAATTTAGTGAGAAAACTTCCTTAGTCAAAAGAAGAAATATAATGCTTTCCTTACAAAACTTAATGATTATTTATGAAATAAAGACATTTGTTTAGAAAACTAATAGATGAAAGTACAGGAAATATGACACAATTATTTTGTTAATATTTTTCTTACTCGATAGTCATATGTTGCATCTGGATTTTCATCGCAGGCAATAACTTCTGGAGCCATCCAATAAGGCGTCCCAATAAAAGTATTTCTTCTACCAACAGTCCTGTCCAGCTGAGCACTAACACCAAAATCCACTATATTCAAATGGAAGAGATGGAGAATCTTGTGAAATTATAACTAATTAATACAAGCCAAGCAATCAATTAAAGATTGAAGCACATGAAATGCCATTAATTGCAACTTATCATATTTTTCATTGTAAGATAGTATTTTTTATCAAACCTAGTCTTCGTATTAAAGTTTGAAAGAATACCATACTCAAAGACAAAGTAATAATAAACTAGAAAGTATATTCACAAATCTAGAAAAACTTTTTATGCCACATTTATTATCTTTAGGTTACTTTTGACACAGTATCTAAATGATGGTATAAATTTAAATACACTACAATAGACGAACATCTACTTCTGCTGCTCATTAAAATTCATGAATGTAAGATTGAAGGTCAGGTACAGTAACCAAGAACATGTCATACCAGTAAGATGGGGAGCTAGGCAAGGATGCGCATTTGGCTCTACTTTATTAATTATATAAACTTATTGGTTCTTCACTTAAGTAACTCTACATTTCATTTTCCCAAATTATCCCACAGACATATCAATTACTGCTGATGAAGCAATAATTGTACCATTGACTTCCACCAGTCTTAAAAAAGACCTTGGTCTTAAAAGATCACTTATGAATTATTATATTGAGGAGAAATTAATAATAAATTATTCTAAGACCAAGATTATCTATCTATCTATCTATCTATCTATCTATCTATCTATCTATCCATCCATCCATCCATCTATCTCCCTCCCTCCCTCCCTCCCTCCCTCCCTCTATGAAAATGTATTTCATAAATTCATTGAAGTTACAGGAACCTTGGGGGGAGATGAGTGACAAAGCAATATTGGAATTCAACAATATGCAAGCACAAGCAATAGGAAAAAAAGTCAAACTAGAATCTTGGACTTCAAAAGAGCTGATTTCAATAAACTTAGAGAAAGATTGAGAAGGATTCCATGGATGAGAATCTTCAAGGGGAAAACAACCCAAGAAGCTTGGGAAACTTTGAAAAGTGAGATTATAAAAACCCAGTCTAGCACAATTCCAATGAAGAAGAAAAAAATAAAAGAGATCTCAAAAGAAACCAGGATGGCTGCATAAAGAACTTTCTGATAAAAGGAAAGGCAAAAAGGACAAGTGTGAAAAGTGGAAAGAGGGGTACAAAACTAAGGCAGAATATCAGCAAATAGACTGAACCTGCAAAGATGAAGTCAGGAAAACTTTAGCTTTAGCTCAAAATGAAATAAGGCTTGTGACAAAAGTCAAAAATAACAAAAAAAAAGCTTATTTCAACCCGTTAAAAACAAGAAAAAAGTCAAGGAAATGATTGGTCCATTAATGGGAGAAAATGGCATGAAGGAGATGAACAGCAGGGAGAAAACAGACCTGCTTAACTCATTTTTTGCATCTGTCTTTACATAAAAAGAAAAAACCGTCCAACCTATTTAAAAAATACTGTAAAATGCATATTACTAATGCAAGTCAAAATAAGCAAAAAAAAAAAAAAAAGATAAGAGAATACCTATTCACTCTGGATGAGTCCAAATCACAGAACCAGATGGCTTCCATCTTAAGGTTCTGAAGGAACTGGCAGATGTGATCTCAGAACCACTGAACTATATCTTTCAAAGATCCTGGAGCATAGAGAACTACCAGACAACTAGAAAAGGGCTAATGTAGTTCCCATCTTCAAAAAAGGGGAAAAATAGATCCAAGAAACTACAGATCTATCAGCCTGACCTCAATACCTGGGAAGATTCTAGAAAAGATAATTCTAGCAAGGAATCTGTGAACACCTAGAACAGTGGTTCTCAATCTTTTTAAACTGGCGACCCCGGTCATGAGCAGGTGGCGCGCATGCATGGTGCGCCCCCTGCGCGGCACACATGCGCGGCGCCGCCCCCTGCGTGGTGTGCATGCGCGGCACCACCTCCATGCACCCCTGCATGGCACGTGTGCACGGGGGCGCCCATGCGCGGTGCGTATGTGCAGCACTGCTCCATGCGCCACTTCCTGCGTGGCGCGCATGCGTGGCAGCGCCCCATGCGCCGGCTGAAAAAAAATGGCAGATCGCGTTGTTTGGCGACCCCCATGAAATGGTCGTTCGACCCCAAATGGGGTCACAACCCACAGGTTGAGAACCGCTAACCTAGAAGCAAACAAAGTCATAACCAGAAACCAACATGGGTTTCTCCAAAACAGATCATGCCAGACAAATTTTACAAAATTAGTGGACCAGCAAAATGCTGTAGATATAATTTACTTGGACTTCAGTAAGGCATTTGATAAAGTATACACAACCCACTACTTTGTAAAATAGAAAAAAGTGGGTTAGACAGCATCACCACTAGGTGGATTCATAACTGGCTCACCAACTGCATTCAACGTGTAGTCTTTAATGAAACTGCATTTAAATGGAGGGAAGTATGCAATGGGGTACCCCGGCTCTGTCTTAGGCCCAGTACTCTTCAATATCTTATCAATGATTTAGATGAGGGAACAGAAGGGGAACTCATCAAATTTGCAGATGACACCAAGCTGGCAGAAGTAGCCAAACAGTCCAGAAAATAGGCTCAAGATACAAGTATCTCGACAGACTTGAACACTGAGCCCTTTCCAACAAGATAAAATTGTGAGAAAAGTAAGGTTTTACATTTAGGCAAGAAAAACCAAATGCATAGGTATAGAACAGGTAGTACCTGGCTCAATAGTAAATGTGAGAGGGATCTTGGAGTCCTAGTGGACAATCACTTGAATATGAGCCAGCAGTGTGCTGCAACTGCCAAAAAAGCCAATGCAGGTCCATTTAGCAAGACCAAGAAGAAGGGTCCTCTCCATGGTGGTTCCCTCTCTGAAATGGGACAACTCACCACATCCATGTGAGTAGGTCCAGCTGTCAGCAAAAGCAGGAGAGCTCATCTCCTCTCTCAGCTTCACCTCTATCAAGCAGTCCAGCCATCTCCCAAAGCTGCATCTCCCAACTCTCAGGTTCTTGGACTAGGGCTTAGCTCCAGTTGATGACAGCACAAAGAAATTAAGCCAGTAAGATCCAGGGGAGTTCAGGGGAAGTCTAGAAGGATCCAGGGGATTCCAAGGGAGCCACACAATCATAAATCGGCCATCTTCTTTTTCCATCTCCTCCATATCCACTTCCAACTGCTCCTTTCTGATCTCCCCTCTCCTCAAATTCTCAGATTCTCTTTTTCTCTGTTTCTCCACCCTCTCATCAAATTTATCATGCCTATCTTCCTCTCACCTTCCTCTCGACACTCTCCTCGTCCACAAGCCAATCTCAACATAAAAAAAAAAATCCCTCTGCAAAATATTTTTGGATCTCCATCAACAAACCCACTCTGCCATCATCTTAATCTTCAATAATCCTGGTTCATAATTCCTGGTTCAATTAAGTTGCTTGCAACTAAAGCCCAAACAGAAATGCTACATGGGGCTAAATTATGACCATATAACAGCAAGGTTACCCTAGAAATAAATAAAAAATTCTGAGATGCATCTTCAGTTACTCACTGCATCCCAAGTAAAATACTTCAATAAGAAGTGGAGGTCAATCCAACTTTTTGGATTTTGAATCTTTACTACTGGCTAAAACTATAGCACAATCTTGGTGGACTGACCTCACTAATGTTGGCAACCACAAATCATCTTGGAAACCAGTTATTCAAAGGAAACTGAACCATTATGGCTTTTCCAATGATGGCATTTTAATTTTAGGGTTAGATTAATATTAGGGCAAAGGATCTTCAATATAGAAAGCCAAGCAGAAATTGCTACTTTCCTCTCACAACTTATTTGTAAATACAGGAACGTCTCGACTTATAACCATGGTTCAAAGTTACCACAGCACTGAAAAAATGACTTACAACCTATTCTTGAAGTTATGATCATTGTACCATGCCATGTTTGCAATTTAGGTGCTTGGCAACTGGATTGCATTTATGAGAGATGCAGAATCCTGCAGTCAGGAGACCACAGTTTGTGACCTTTCAAGCTGGCTTCTAAGATTCAGATCAATGAGGAAGCCATGCACGCTTAACAATCACATGATTTGTTTAATAACCATGATAGAAAATAATAGGTCTCATGTCTTAAGTTGCAGAGTGAGATAGATGATCTTTAAATGATTTTGCTCTATTATGGCTACAGGGTTGGGGCCTTTCAACACCTTTTTATGTACCTAATAGCTTGGATCTTAAGCATTAATGTAAGGATATCCTAACATATTCAAATCCAACAATTTTGGTATTCTCAGAAAAGGGAAGATATTAAAATTCAAAAGAAGAAAAAGTACACGAGATGTTAAAAAGTAACTAAACATTGATTTTGAGTTAGAGAACTAATTTTTTTTATTACTAAATAAATTATGATAAATTTACACTCTATAAAACTTCCCTGAATAGTATTAACTATTTCTCAATACTTCTCCAGCTATGCTGTTACTAGATGAAAGAATAATTGAGATGAAGTAATAAGCCAGAAGGCCATTAAGAACAGTCTAATTAACTTACCTAATTTCACTTCTGCATTTTCTGTTAACAATACATTCTGTCCTTTAATGTCTCGATGAATCACATGATGGGCATGTAGATGTGCCAATCCCTGCATTTTTTTTTTTTGAAAAAAAAAGCAAGATAATTCATGTGAAACAATTCAGTTTCTTTTTTCTTAAATATGCAACATTCAGACTTGCAGTATGGCATACTATGGTCCATATGTTCTTTAACAATAGGAACTGTAGGTGATGTTTTATTAACCAGATTACTCATAAAACATACGGAAAGTTACAAAGGACCATGAATAATTTTACACTGTTTAATATATATATATATATATATATAAAACAACATCATAACTTTTAAAACATTTCTGGAAAATACTTGATGACAAACCAATCTACAAATCTTTACGAAATATTACTGGCAAGATTAGAAAAAATATATAACAAGCAAAGTATCATTAGAAAGGAAACCTAGTTATTTGCTATATTACCTATAACTGATAATGCTAATATAAATTTTGTAAGGCTGAATAATCCATAAGGTTGAAACAAATTCTGTAAAATATTATTTATAAATATTTTATAAATATAAAAATCCTGACAATTCTTTGCTTCTTTTCATTCATTTCTACATCAATGAAATAAGGGCTACCTATAAGCAATACACTTTGAGCCAATTGCTTTTTATGAATGGAATATTACCACCACCAATAATCATGAATTTTCTGCCAAAAGAAACAAGAAAAAATTACTTGAATTAGACTGATAAGAGAACTTAATAAAATTAGGTTCTTGTACAAAAAGACAAGACATTATAGCAAGACATTATAGAATATAAAATAGCAATGATAATAACTTTATTCAATAATTAACACTACACAAGCTATTATTGTAATGTATTCTTAGAGAGAAATTTTTCTATACAGTGAGGGGAAAAATTATTTGATCCCCTGCTAATTTTGTATGTTTGCCCACTGACAAAGAAATGATCAGTCTATAATTGTAATGGTAGGTTAATAATGAAAGACAGTATAACAACAAAAAAATCCAGAAAAATGCATTTCAAAAAAGTTATAAATTGATTTGCATTTTAATGAGTGAAATAAGTATTTGACCCCTTCACAAAACATGACTTAGTACTTGATGGCAAAACCCTTGTTGGCTATCACAGAGGTCAGACGTTTCTTGTAGTTGGCCACCAGGTTTGCACACATCTCAGGAGGGATTTTGTCCCACTCTTCTTTGCAGATCCTCTCCAAGACATTAAGGTTTCAAGGATGACATTTGGCAGCTTGAACCTTCAGCTCCCTCCACAGATTTTCTATGGAAATAAGGTCTGGAGACTGGCTAGGCCATTCCAGGTCCTTAATGTGCTTCTTCATTCATTCATTCGTTCATTCATTCTTTGTCGTCATTTTCTGAAAGTTTTTTAATTGTAAGTTTAGGTTAAAGATATTTATGTTTTTAATCACATCATGATTTGAAACAATTGTCATTTGGATTTGTTGCAGCATTGTATACATTTCCTCCTGGACAATATTTGCCTTGTCTTGGAGTATTGCTCCTGCAAATCTCTGATGTTCCAGGCTTGCGCCTTCAGAAGGAAATATTAGGTGTGGTTTCCTGCCACTTTTAGATAAGGTATGCAACATCCATTTTGTCTCTCCCCTTCAGACAGTCTTTCACCTGTACCATAGTCTCTGTGATTAGCCTTGTCAAACCAGCCAATCTTAAAATCCAAACAACCAACTCTTATATAGTTATCTTTATATGATTTTTTTATAATCCAATGTGTTTCCAATTGTCAAAGCACCACTTACAATGATCAGCCAGCCAAATTCCAGAATGTTTAACCACCTAAGAGCTTTCCAGTAAATCCCCCCCAGAAGATTAGCCAAAAGTCAAGGTTTTTCTTTCTCTGCAAACAATTCTTGAGCCTAGAGATCATAGCTCAGCAAGTGTTTATAATCCCAGAAGGTCAGCAGTTTTTAAAACAAGTATAGTTCTCACTCTGTAGTAGGTGGCCCAGTGTTTTTTCTTTCCTCTGTTCCCAGCTGTTCTCTATTTGGCTAAAAGTCACTGAGGTTCAAAGGTACAAGTTGTTCTTTATTTCTGGGTGTCTTGCCAATTTCTGAGTCAATGCAGCTGTTGTTCTATGCTCTAATCCTCCACTAGATGTCAGACGCTATTCATTTTCCAATTTTTTAAAACAAAGAATTGTTTTCTTGTAGTTTCATCCATACTCTTTCAGATATGAAATCTTAATAGTTTTCATAATTTTCAGATTTATCCAGACTGTAGTCTTCATTTCAATATATTTCTGCCCCCCATAAAAATTAAAGCGCCGCTTCCTTCTATAGAACGGTGGGGATGCAGTCCCCTCCCTTCTCACTTTCAGAGGATTTTTTGCTTCTTGGGGATCTTTTCCAGGAAATCAGTTACAAAATAGAAGAGAGAAGATCAATATTCTCACCTACTTTCAAGCATGCTGTTCACAGTTGTTCTGGTTAGTGCTTTTGGACTTTAGCTGCCGGTAGCTTAGGCTAGTCACTGAGGTGTAGCTAGCCTTTCTCCTTTTGGTTTGGAGGGCTTCCCCCAAATCAAATGAATCGACCACCATCATTCCACGATCATCGTGGGGGCCCCTCCTTCTTCGCCGCTTCTCCAGGGCGACTTTAGACCCATTTAGGGTCCGCTGGCAGGGCAAAACAAGCCATGGAGTGCGGAGCCCCGCAATCCCTCAGCCGTGTGCTACAAGTTCTATTTATCTTCAATCCTGCTACTTCTCTAAATTCCTCTATCTTTTTCAATAATTTCAAGACTGTCTCCAGCAGTTCTTCTAGGATAAATACCAAGTTGTCTGCAAATGCTTGTAATTTATAGCTGTCATCTTTTATCTTGATTCCTTTGATTTCTGAGTCTTGTCTGATGTTTCTATTCAAAATTTCCAGAGTCAATATGAATAACAACGGGGATAGAGGACAACCTTGTCTTGCGCCTTTCTTTATATTAATATTCTCTTTATATTCCCCATTTCACCCAGTTCTCCTCTGAATCATTCAGCTGTTCATTGGCAAACATCAGACAGGCCAGTACATGTGCTTTCTTGAACAGGGAGACCTTGCAGGTGCTGCAGGATTTCAGTCCTTCACGGCATAGTGTGTTACCAATTGTTTTTTTGATGACTATGGTCCCAGCTGCCTTGAGATTACTGACAAGATCTGAGCTGATTCCTCACAGTTCTCACGATCATTGAAAATCCACAAGGTGAGATCTTGCATGGAGCCCCAGACCGAGGGAGATTGACAATTATTTTGTGTTTCTTCCATTTGCAAATAATTGCACCAATTGTTGTTACCTTCTTACCAAGCTGCCCGTTACAGTCTTGTGTATGTCTACAATCCTGTCCCTGACATCCTTGGACAACTCTTTGGTCTTGGCCATGGTGGAGAGTTTGAATCTGATTGATTGTTTGGAATCTGACTGATTGATTGGACAGGTGTCTTTTATACAGGTAACAAGCTGAGATTAAGAACATTCCCTTTAACAGAGTGCTCGTAATCTCAGCTCGTTACCTGTATAAAAGACACCTGGGAGCCAGAAATCTTGCTAATCGATAGGGGATCAGATACTTATTTCACTCATTAAAATGCAAATCAAGTTATAACTTTTTTGAAATGCGTTTTTCTAGATATTTTTTTCTGTCTCTCACTGTTAAAATAAGCTTACCATTAAAATTATAGACTGATCATTTCTTTGTCAGTGGGCAAATATACAAAATCAGCAGGGGAATCAAATAATTTTTTCTCTCACTGTATAAGGGAGAATATAACCTTACCTAGTTATTTGCAGATTAAAGATACTATTTGGTCAGGAATGCAAAGTTCTATTCTATGTGTATGTGTATAAAGTCTCATATAGTTGCAATCTCTGTTATAGAAAAAAACCTTTTTATTGTTAATAATAACTGATAACAGTAATGGTTCCGATAACTTCAAGGTATTTCCTTCATAAGAAGTGCAGTATATGTATCTTGCTTACTTTTTTGGGTAGATAGTAATTTAGAATAAGATGAAAGTTAAAGCAGAATTTAAAACTTAACCATTTAAATAGAAGTATATTTTTCATGTTTCTTACCCTGAGAATTTCTCTGGAGATATATGCTATCCAGTCCTCTTTCAAAGTATTTCCTTTTGTATTCTTCACAAGATCCGTAATAGAGCCTGCACCACAAAACTCCATAACAAGCTACAAAACAGAATACAAAACAATTTATCATTATGTACATCTCCTGTAATTTATTTATCATTATGTGTAACCAATTCTATGTGGGACAAACATCACGTCAATTAAAAAACAGGATTCACAAACATCGGCTGATAATAAAACACCACGATCCCAAATCCTTAAGGTCTACCCACACTGACACCAAACAGCACCAGTTCAATTGGAACAACACAAAAATCATTGGCCATGCTACCACCCACCATGCTCATGAGTTCATCGATGCCTGGCACTCCACAAGCAATTCCATCCACAGACATATCGAACATACGAACCCCTCAGAATCCAAATCAACCTCACAGCCAACCAAAGACAGCACCAACCCTCAACCAACCCATGCAAGCCCCCCCTCACCATCAGTGCACCTCCCAATGACCGTGACCTGATGTAACCTCCCCATCACAAGATTCACTGATGACTTACACCTGACCCATCATAAGACTCATCACAGACTCTCACTTGACACACCCACATCTGAAGCCCTTATAAACAGAAGAACACTGACATCCCCTAACCTCTGCTGAAGATGTTACCTAGTCTGGTTACGAAACGTTCAGAAACCAACCCACAAGCTTGGAGAATGAACCTTCACCCTCATCCTACACCCAAGCTACAGATATTTGCCACTATTGTAAACAAAACAATTGTTCAAAGTATCTTCAGTCCATATATCACATACCCATTTTACTGAAATAAAATAAGTTCCCATAAGAATATACCATATGTATTATAATCTAAACCTCAGTGACAATTTTAAGTTTATTTCATATCAGCCTATTAGCATTCAGAGATTAAGTTGTGCACTTCAGGGCTATAGGTTATATCAGGGGTAGTCAACCTTGGCTCTTTTATGACTTGTGGACTTCAACTCCCAGAATTCCTGAGCCAGCTGTGCTGTACTGGCTCAGGTATTCTGGGAGGTTAAGTTCACGAGTCATAAAAGAGCCAAGGTTGATTACCCCTGGGTTATATTATAAAAAATTCTTAAGTAAAAACTGGCTGCCTAACTACTCTACCTTGGCTCTTCCCAATGTGAAAACTAGCTAGCATAACCTGAATTAATCATGTTTGTTTAAAAATATAAATTATTGTAGCCTTTTTCTTGTTTTCTTCTTGTGACAACACAGGATCACAAACATCTGACAGTGGTTTATCAAAAGAACTGTGGTTTAATATACAACATGAAACAACAACATTCAGGGAGCATACAGAATATAAGGTAGTCAGTTATGTATAAACAGTTCAAGAGAGCTAAAGATTCCAACTGTCATTTCCCTCAGTCTCTTAAAGGGATACTAACCCCAAAATACTTTGCTGACTCACTCTCTGTATATCATCTCTGTTCCGAATGCCTTTACCCAATTTTGATACTTGTCTGAACTCAAAGGCTTCGTTAATATATCCAGCAAATTATTTTCAGAGGAGCAATGCTTTAACTCTATTAGTTTATTCTTTACTGCCTCACTTACATTGCAATATTTGATATCTATGTGTTTACTCCGGCTTCCGATGCGTTCTCCTGTTGCCATTGTTATACATGCAACATTATCTTCCCAAACTGGTATAGCCCCTTTTATGTAAATATTTACATCCTTTAGTAGTTGTACATACCAAGTTAACTCTGAACACGCCTCTGCCAATGCTATAAATTCAGCCTCTGCAGTTGAAAGTGCCACTGAGGATTGTTTTCTAGATTTCCATCCAATTACATTTCTGGCAAATAATATTACAAAACCTGTATTTGATTTTTTATCATTCATATCGTTTGCCCAGTCACTGTCTATATAGCATTGTATTGATAGGTTACTGGATGGTCTCTCTTATCCATAACCCTAGGTCCATTGTTCCCTTTAAATATCGTAATACCCTTTTTATCCAAATCCAAGGTTGTTTTGGTGCAGACGTGTGTCTACTTAAAATGCATTGGTTATATCAGGCTGTGTCCACTGGGATAAATAGAATAAACTACTGATCACTGATTGATATATCTCTTTATCATATTCTGTGTCATTTTTCATCTACACATTATTCTGGAAGCCTAAAACCATAGGAGTAGATACACTGTTACAATCAAGCATGTCATGCTTCTCTAATAGCTGTTTTATCTTTTTTTGTTTGGCTTATTATAAATCCTACATTTTTTAGATTTTGTATCTCTACACCCAGGTAGTACTTTATCTCTCCTAGGCTTTTTAATTTAAACGTCTTTTCCAGTTGTCTGGCAAAAGAGTGGGCCTGTGAATGATGTTTTGTAACTGAACATATGTTATCTACATATGCCAACAGCAAGCATTCTGCACCCTCATACATTGCAGGGATCTGCTCTGCTGCTTCTAAATCCTAATCTCTTTAGAGCAGGGTCTAGGCTAGTGGTGGTGAACCTATGGCATGGGTGCCAGAGGTGGCACTCAGAGCCCTCTCTGTGGGCATGCGCGCTGTCGCCCCAGTCCTAGGTCTTCAGCTGGGTTTTATAAAACCTTTTCACTTTAGGCCTCTGTCGCCATGTGCAAAAAAAAAAAAAAGGTTCAGTCAATTTCAACTTCTCACGGAAAAAAAAGATCTTGCAAAGTTGGAATTGATTGATTGAACTTTTTAGTCCCACCCAGTCTTCCGTTACCACCACAGCCATGCCCAGCCAATGGGCCACACCCACCCGGCACTCGACGATGCATAAGTGGGTTTTGGGTTGCAGTTTGGGCACTCAGTCTCTAAAAGGTTCGCCATCACTTGTCTAGGCACCGATTCCAGTTCCTTTTGACTGTTTTAACCCATAGATGGCTTTCTTCAATTTGTATAAGTATCCAGGTTGCTTTTGTTTCATAGCCTGGAGCTTGTGTCATATATATCTGCTCTTCCAATTTAGCATTTAAATATGCAGTGGAGATATCATAATGGTATATTGCATAATCATGTGCAGCAGCTAAAGCTAATGCTAGCCTTGATGTTTCACTCTTAACTATTGGTGCAAACCAACATAATGAACATTTTTTTTCTTTGTGTGAATCCCTGTGCTACTAGTCTTGCCTTGTATTGCAGTTCATTATTTTGTAATACCTTCTTTTTATATACCCACTTACATCCCACGGCCTTTTCTCCTTCTGGTAATCTCCTGAGTGAGAACATTTGATGCTGATCCATAGATTCCATTTCCCTGTCCATGGTTTCCTTCCATTTTTCTCGTTCTGTTTTTGTAAGGAATAATTTCTTGATAATTGTGAGGTTCATAATGCATACTACATACGCTAATCTCACTTGCCTTGGATCTATCAGGAGGTACTCCTTTATTAATTTATTTTGACTTCCTTGGTAACACCTGTTCCTGTACTTCTGTGTCTTCACTTTTCATGTCACGTCTCTCCTCCTTTATGTTTACAGTTTTTGACCTGCTATCCATTTTCTCTGATGATAGGTCTTCTGTAGCTTCTCCTCCTATTACTATGTGATGAAATAAACACCTCTGTGTTGGCATGTGCCCTATCCCAATTACTATGCTCTGCAAAGGTGGCAGAACGTGAAATCACAACTTTCTGAGTTTCATCAGTAAACCTATATTCCTTGGATCCTGGCTCATATCCTATAATCCTCAGTTTTCTGGTCTTTTTCTGTTCCTTCCTTCTAGTGCTCTTAGGATTATGGACCCAGGCATAACTACCAAAAGTTCTTAAGTGAGCCATAAGGGTTTCTTACCGTATAACAAAAAATATGGTATTTCGTTCACAGCAGAACTCCATAATCTATTTATTAAATAGTTAGACTTTTTATGGCTTCTCCCCAGTACTCTCCACTCATGCCTGCATCTGGAAGTAGTGAGTCATTCATTGTCTGTAATACACCATTCCTCCTTTCAGCTACTCCATTTTCAACTGGTGTATATGGGTTTGTTCATTTGTGTCTAATACCTAGATTCCTAAGCCAACGTTGAAAATGGTTGGATATAAATTCTGCTCCCCTGTCTGTCTGCAATTGGCATACTTTATTGCCATATCTGCGTTCCACAAATGTCACCCATTGTTTAAATCAGTGGTTCTCAACCTGTGGGTCGGGACCCCATTTGGGGTCGAACGACCATTTCACGGGGGTCGCCAAACAACGCAGTCCACCATTTTTTCCCCCTTTTCCTTAGCTGTGCTACTCCCTTTTATTCTATTGGCTTTTGAAAGCCAATAGAATAGACTCTCTTGAATAGAGTCTAATTCTATTGGCTTTCAAAAGCCAATAGGAATTGTCCAGGTTGTCTCTGCCCTGCTGAGCCCGCCAAAAGTCCCATTCTGCAAACGGTGCTGCATCAGTTGAGTAGTCCTTGACTTATGACCGGTTGAGTAGTCCTCGACTTATGACCGGTTGGGGTTTGCAGCATTAAAAAGGTTGAGAACCACTGGTTTAAATTGTTGCAATACCTGTGTTTTGTGTTTGAGTAAATAACAAAATCCATATCTGGATTACCATACACACGGCACAATCTAGGTACACATCACAGTTCTTCACTTTCAGTCCTTCTGCTATTTTTGGCATTTTCTGTAGACTCTAAAGCTGGCATGACCTAATCTCCTATGCATTAGATGCACATAGTTACGTGTGGGTGTGTTTGTCAGAGTACATGCACAAACACCTTTCTGTTCTAATATGTATAAACCATTCTGTCCAATGTCCCATGCACAAATCCTCCCATCTTTCTTGATAGTATATTGCCCACTAGCAAACATTACTTCATATCCCTCGTTATCTAGACATGCAACACTTAGTAAATTATGGTCTGTGTCTGGCACATATAACACTTTGTTCAATGTTACCCCTAGTTCAGGTACATAGACATTTCCTTCCCCTTTAACTGCTGACTGTTGACCATTAGCCAGGCTGACAAAATCCGGGTTAGTTGGTCTTAAATCAACAAATGCATGTGGGTTTGCTGCAACATGCTGGCTTGCCCCAATGTCTAGTAGCCACTTGTTGAGCGTATTTTTCTT